TCCACTGGGTTTCGGGGCTCGAGAGGGCTTGGCCTGATGTGTAAGTTACCATCATAAGGGAACCATATGGGAGTTTATTAGGGGTACCTTATTTTGGTGTCCTTATAGTAAGGCCCTACTATGTAGAGTCCCATATTAGGATCACCAATTTTCGGAAACTCGCATATCTATTCACTATAGATCTCTTTAGTCCACTGCAGATCTCTCTTATGGTAACTTGAGTTAAACACTTCATAACTCTTTAACCCATTCCCAGTCTATGTGGGAGGTTACTCTAATAGACTGTCAAGATGGTGCTGGGATTAGCGGGCTGGAAGCAAAACAGATAAGTAGTCAGAAACTCATAAGCTCCCCCAGTTCCACAGACCAGGAGCCCTCACGATGACGATGCGGATAGATGTGGTGATAGATGCTAAGCTCCGAAACTGTAGCCGTAATGATGGGAGGGGGGCTTGCAACTTGTACGGGTCTGAACAAGTAGTTGGTACATCCACGTTTAGTCCCTGCAGGACCATGGAATGATCATCGTGCAAGATATTCCCAAACCCCAATTCAAAAAATGAAGGCTCCTACAAAATTGGACACGCTTGGGGTTTGACGTTTCGAGGCTTTGGGCTTAGGGGATGCTTGTACAACAGTGACCCAAAGGGTCCAAGTATCATCATGGGACATACTTAGACCCCCCAAATGCCCTATAAGTATAAGGGACCCAAAATCTAGTACCCCAAGTAGTAGGATCCTTATTATAAGGACCCCAAATAAGGTACCCCCCCCCTATTTTCGGAAATTCCCATATACCAGGATGATACTTGGGGACCCTTTGGGTGAGGGATGGTGTAGGGCTTATAGTATCTCCAAGGCCTCGGGTTGATGCCCAGAAACTGCAGCGACACCAAGATAATAGAGAGGCCTTAAAAATTACCTATACTGTACTATTTGGGTGGTTGCTTATTACAACTATGGCAATTTAAAAAATAGACCCCCGAAGCCCTCTTCGAATTATGTCGGCCCGTGACGTAGTCAATCGAGAGGCCTCTTCTGCTCGCAGTCAAGCTTTCCAGCACGCTAAGAACGCCCTTATCAAGGTGGCGAAAGGAACGAGAGCTATGGAGCAACGACTGATAACCTCGTGATTGAAGCTGTTGTGGTGGCGATGCACAATCTCTTCAACGGCGAGCTGACTGTCGAAGCTCACTTGCTGGGGCTCGAGGGCGATCAGCCTCGAGACGATTGCCCTCTGAGACAAGAATTTTTTCATCGACACCCAGTTGTGCTCTCTTAGATCGAGCAGGCTCATTGTAGCAGCCAGTACGTCGTGCAATGGTTCAGGCGGCATTCTCAGATCTTTGACAAGCTGGAGGTGATCTGCCTTTACATGGGAAACGGCTTTACGAGCCGTTTGAAGGAGAAGTGCCTCTTCTTCCGGCAAAGCGCGACGAACCACGGCCAAAGAAACATCCTCACGAAGGAAATCCGTTGAAGCCAGAGGAGAGCCCTCGAATAGCAAGGTGGGCCGAGCACCATCGCAGAACTTGGCGGCCAGACGACACTGCAAATCGCCTACACCACACGGCGCCTCCTGCTGAAGCTCAGACAGTAGCTCCCCATTCCTGACTTGACGGAGCAAGGTACTAACTAACTGCAGTCTCCATTGTAGTTCCTTTTTTTGGTTTAATCAATTATATATATATATATATATATATATATATATTAAGGACCCTATAAGGTAACCCCAAAAAGGAACTACAATGGAGACTATAGGTATAAGGTAGGTCACAAGCAAGGCAGCTATATTTAGCAATATTTGCGCTATTTAAATCCTCAGACTTGAAGTACCCGTCCAGCAACGACTATCAAGGCATTTTCGGGACTAAATCCTTCAAGTACTGCTAAACTTCATTCTCAACTCAACCCACCACTCTTGCTGCTGGACCCAGAAACTGAAACATTGTCCATCGAACCTATGCTTTGTCAACAAAGCCAGATCTGTCAATCCTGAAGTTTTAGAAGACCTTGAATTCTTCAATCGGACATCTGAGTTTCAAAGCACTGCGGAGCTCAACACGGATGGGTCGATTGTCAGGAGCAGCGGCTGCTGCCGCTGCGGAGGAGGAAGATGTCGCATCCATGGCTTCATCTGATTCCCTCATGACAAGAACCTTCTGGGTTCAGGTTGTAAGACAGCCAACATAACCCGCTTCATGGTAGGGCTCCATATCCGAGTTGTATCTCAAAGCTTGTTTATACGAGGGCCGTGCGAAAGACTGCGAGATTCAGGAGAGTTTGGCTTCTGATACTGCAGCTACGGCGAGAGCTTCGGCATACGATTTGGGGGGGGTTACTCATTATAACTATATACCCTGAAATCGAATCCGACTCAATAAGGCCCCTTTATTAGTTTAACGATCTGCGACACAGACCTTCGTCTTGTCTGTTTTAACCCTTCGATCGACGGGTCGTGCCTCTGACCACATAGAGAACTCACAACAGATACCCAAAATGGTATACACTTTTTTTTAAAGTGCACTGACCCTTTCTCCGCTGCGCCAACGACGAAGCAGGGACTTAGCCACTTTGGCCCCAAAAGTATCCAAAAGGGGCTGCGGCAAGGCCAAAGTACGTACTATTTACGTACCTGGGCCCTGAGGGAAAGACTATTCGAGCCTAGGAGCTGCATCGTAGACGCGACCCCAACCAGCAGCTCGCGGCGATAGGTGGGATAGTTGTGCAGGTGCACGAAACCTCTCTGTGCTTTCTTGTTGAATAAATATATCTTCCGGCTGAGAACGATGGGTTCATTCGCAGTTATCTGTTGTTGAGTTCAGGCCCTTCACAAACCCAGCCACCTGACTGGCCTCTGGGAAGCCGTGGACAGAAAGCAATGGTACAAGATTGTGGTCGAACTAGGCAGAAGGGGTGATCCCTGAAGACCACAGTAACTGTCATGCAACTGCTAACTTAGGAAAGCCTTGGACTAATCGTCCATGCTTCAACTGACCCTTTCGGTCAACTCTAGCAAGCACCAGGATGGATTCAGGGCAAGCGGGCAGGATAAGTTCAGGATTGCAATGCTTTCGGAAATACGAGTTCGGTCAGGATCTCGGAATCTTGGAGAATCTAGGGACATTGACCATATTTGTAGCTGCGTGTTGGAAGAGTAATTGATGGAGGGCTGTTGCTAAAGATTGACACATATTGAGACTTTACCTTCTTCGAGTTCACGGGGACTAAGGCACTGTTGGGATGTTGCAGATGCTTTTGTTGAGCACATTTCCCAAAGATCCGCGTTGATGTTTAGGGCTTCTTATAGTGAGTCCTAGACCCTGCAAACCGAGAACCCTACCCGAAAACCCGAAAAGCCCAAGCTCTGACTTATCTTGCAGTAGCTTGCCGAAGCATACTATGGGCGCCTTGACGATCTTAATGAGGTTCTGAGGTAGGTTGTAGTGTACTGCTGTACAGGCTAGATGCTCCGACCCCCTTCGTATGACTACGCGGCTGCATGAATCCCCTCTACACAGATTACCTTCTGCTCTGGCCGTAGACGGTCGGGCGGGATGTACCTAGACCCTGAATTTTAGTATGTCTTCTGCGGCAAGCCAAAACGTGACAGTCGGTACTTAAAGATCATGTTGAATGAACGCCCTGCGCCTATGTGTTTCTTCGGGCAGCTTAAAACGGGTCAACACAGACGTCAAGGCTTTCACGACAAGAGAGTCATAAGTAGATTGTGTCTGCTCTTGCTTGAGAGTGTAGACCCAAACTGAAAAGCCAAACGAAAAGCCCCTGCCGGCGCAGCTCTCGTCCGGCGGCGGTATCGTATTTACAGCCCGAGGGCCCCCGACACTCAGTAACCCTAACCCCTCAGCAGCCAAGAAGCGGATGCGGCCATGACGAACCGAATATCCGGCGTTCTCCCGGTCGTAATGATCAACATGACCTGCTCATATCATCGCGACGCTTTAGGAAATAAGGCCTTCTTGGATCTAGGGCCTTTGCGGCCTGGAAATCTTCACAATCTAGAGAGCTTAAGGGCCGAGAAATGTCTTAGGAACTGAAATTTAGCTCGTCTCTTCTTGATTGCGCAAGCTACCCCTAGTCTCTTTTGTAGTTCCTTTTTTGGTTAACAAGATCTCTATTCTAGGATCCTACCCAAAAAACCGGTTAACGAGAAAAAGGAACTACAATGGAGACTCTAGGTACCATCGAAATATCGTTGAGCTGTCCGTCTTAAGGGGTCCATATAATGCCTGCAGGCTTCAAACTTACCTTCTTGGCTCTGAGATTTAGGGATCCTCGTTATTGAAAAGGGTTTTTGGGGCTCAGCTGGTGTAGTCGCTATATACTGCTCTAATATCTAATGATGATAGGAAACCCAACGGAATACGTTAACCAAACATTGTCGGAGCTAGATTCGAAGACGGCGGATGGCGCACCAGGGAGAAACAGAAAGCACAGGCAACGAATCACGCCCGTTGCTACAAAGCCAAAGAGACTCCGCCCCTGCAAAAGAAGGAAGAGGAGTACAGCAGGCATACAGCAGAACACTGTCATCTCTTCGCTCTGAGCCTTTCGCTTCAGGATTTGTGTGGTTGTCAAAATTATGGTCCCTTTTTGGGGTACCCTAAATACTAGGTGCCGCATTATAATAAGGACCCAAAATCCTAAACCCTAAACCCTAAACCCCTAAACCCTAAACCCCTAACCCCTAAACCCTATAATATTGACAACCACCTATTTGGAGGATGAGGACTGCCAAGATTGAGGTCCCACAGTCCCTTCTCTGGAACTGGTTCTGGTGTTTCGGGATTTATAGGGGAGTTTGCGAAAATAGCGGACCCTAATATAGTACCGTAAATAGTAGGATCCTTATTATAAGGACCCCAAATAAGGCACGCCTACTTTCGGAAACTCCCATATTCTGATGCATGTAGCAACTTTTGCCGTGTCCTACCTTAAACCACCGATATCGGCCTTTTTTTGCTAGAGCGGGCGCAAAGTCAGAACGACGTGCCCATGGCAGTGAATTCAAGGGTGAAACAGGTTGGGGGGCCTCCAGACGCAGAATCCTGGGCTAGCAGCTGCAACCAGGAAGAAAGGGGTTCAAGCTGCGAAGCAGCAAACGGAAGTCGGCAGAAGACCGGAACACCCTCCTGTGCGGTGCGAACGAGGCATTGAAGCGCTCCGAGGAGCTGCACAGTCCACGCATTCTGACGACGCAAGGAACGCAGGGGCTGTGAGCTCGGACTCAAGAAGCAGGTATCCGAAAATGGCGGTGGAGGCAAACAGGCACAAAGTCCACAACAAGTGCCTGAACGAGGCGGAAGATCAGAAAGAACAAAGGTGCGAACAGGCTGCAGGCCGAGGTGCCAGTGCTGAACCCAACTGGAAACAAGCTCGCCAATCCACCAAAGGGGAAGATCGCTAGCAGACGCAAGAGATCGAAGAACAGGGGGCAACACAGCAGGCTGGAACCCGGTTGTAGGCCTGCAGTGGGGAATCTTGCCCCCTACATGAGAGCACAAGTGCTCTGGCAGAAACGCAAGCAGCACATCAGCCGCAGCATCAGCCAAATCGCCTGGAACCAAACCATCAGCCCAAGCCCGTAGGGTGCGTCGCAGCACAGGCCATGGCGCAACAAACTGCGTGACCACATCGAGGATCTCCTGATCAGTAGAGTCAACTAAGGCCTGCAAAGCTTTGAGGAGCTCAGGGCACTGTTCATCGACTGGAATAGAAGGCAAGCGAGAGCCGAGCTTCACTGGAGGGGCCTGAGCATGCCCTTCCACCCTCTCACCATCCCCGGCTGGCGCATGGCCATGCTCCAAAAGAAATTGGCAACAACGCGGGGAAGAGATGAAGTGCGTGCGAAGCTTGGCAGCGGAGGCATAGGTAGAACCACAAGCAGAGCAATGCCGACCCTTCGCGAGCCGTGTGGCCACGTTGCGATATCCGTGCACACGCTGAGCGTGGGCTCCCCACTGCCGAAAGGTGGCAAAGGCGATCCCACATACAAGGCAGCCATGTTCAATCCCTTCCAGAGGAGAAGCCCCCGGTGAAAAACGCTCAGGCCACATAACACGTACGGAGGAATCAAAGGCCGCACGCAAGCAACAGCATTCATGATCAAAGGCTTCAGCACGTTTCAAGATGCCTTTCCAACGACCAGGCTGGGCCTTGATCAATGAAGCCCATTTGTTCCAGTCTTGCTCGATTGGCCCCAGATCACAAGTGGCCGAAACTCGGGCAAGAAGCCAATCTCCCGCCTCACGAAGGGCACGCTGGAAAGGAAAATTCCAAGACACCAGAGCCCAGACCTGATCCGGGGCACTGCGGACAAGTTGCCCGAGAAGACGTAGCCGCTCAAGATGCAACAAGGCAAGAGGGGAAGGCAGACCCACGCGGGACAAGAGCTGGCACTCGGTGACATGCCAGTCTCCAGTGGCCCGAAGGCCCAACATCTGCCTATACAGTCCCAGAACACCACCAGAAAAGGACTGCCAATCCTGCTTCAGCAAAACCGGCCAACTGCCCGCACCTACCAAGAGCACCGAGAGAACATGACTGCGAAGCAGGGCAGCACGTCTTTGCATGGGCACAAGCTGACAAGCATATAGCTTTCGGCGTCCCTCGCGAAAGGCTGCGTTTGCGAGGGCCAAACGCTGCCTCACTTCCGGCCCGATTCGACCGTCATAGGAGACCAGGGACCCAAGGTGCCGGTACCGAGGCACCAGATCAAGCCACAACAATCCCTGATGCTGCGGCCAAATCGGCACCCTACCCTTAAGTTTGACAAAGATCTCCTGATCTCCTCACGAGCAGCACGAGATCCTGAGCCTAAAGGAGCGACAACTGCTGCCGTCTTGGTGGGCCCAAGGTTCGGGCGCAGAGCATGAGGGGCCAGGGTGTCCATGGTGTCCGCAGTAACCGCTGACACGGCCCCTCTAAGCTGGGAGGCCCGGGAGCATAGGACCGGGGTGCAAAGGTCGTCCGCATAAACGATATCCGTAATACGGAGGGAGGAGGCAGGACTGGAGCCCACTTGCTGAAAAGGAGTCCGTTCCCCACTCCAGGGGATCTCGGGCCCGAACTCCCGCAGTGGCCCAGTAGCTCGCCTTGCCAAAACTTTGGCGAAAAGCAGATTGAACAATATATCTGCAAGAGTGCCTCCTGGGCGCGTGCCTCGAGCCGTAGCAATGAGGCCCTCATCGTCCGCCAAAACGAACCAAGTTTGGCGGTGTAGTTCCCGTGAGAGGGAAATAAGAAGAGAAGAGGCTTCCTGAGATTGCAGCACCGGTTCGCTCTCCACATAATGGCGAAGAAGCTGAAGATCTTCGTCTGCTAAACCCAGGGAGCCAGCAACCTCGGAGATCGGCCGGTCCGTCAATGAACCTCCGAGGATCGTTTCTCGCACCACCGCATAATACGCTGAGGCCAGGTCCACGAAGATCAATCCCGCTGACAAGCCATGGTGCTTAGCAAAAGCGAGGAAAGAGCGTGAACAAAGATGGCCGAAAAGTGCGCTGCAACCCGCTTTACCGCCTAATTGGAGGGGAAGCGAATGGGCTGACCAGTGCCGCACCACGAGACCACGAAGGGATCGGTGGAAGACCTTCGAAAAGCAGCTCTGCGCAAGGATGCCACGATGGGCATCGCATGTATTGCGCGCACCGGGCTTGTTCTTGTTGATGTGGAACATAATGCCACCTTTCATACCAGCCGCTTCCGCTGAGAGGCATACGGTTTTGAGGAGCAGCGGCCAGAACAAGTCCGTTAGCTGCACACTAAAATTTTTGCACAGAACTGGAGGAACCAGGTCTGGGCCTGCAGCCTTACGCGGAGCCGCATGCCTGAAAGCGGCTTCAAGAGTGGTCCAGGAAGGAATTTCCTCAACTGCCAGCACATCCGGTGCATCAGAAGCTGCCTGCGTTGCGCGGCATCTAGAAACTAGTTCCGCAGGGGTGATCCGCTGACCGCCTTCGAGCGCACTGAAGTGTTCCCGCCATGTGTCCATGATTTCCCGCGAAGAGGAGCAGCGCGTACCATCAGCCTTTTCCAGAACCGGGAGGGGGTCAGCCGCAGTACGACGGAACTTCTTGGGCTTCAAGACGCGCTGTACCGCCAGATGTAGTTCACGGCTAGGAGCCGAAGCCAGCTCCTCAGCCAACTGGGAGAGATGGGCAGCCTTATCCGCCTTACATCCCTCCTTGAGCTGCAGGCCCAGTCGATGCAGCATAAGGCAATTACTGGCCAACCGAAGCTGCAGCTGCCATAGCCACTCGCCTTGAAACACATCCTCAAAGGGGGGAGCAGCCACACGCCATGAAATGAGGACACAACGCAAGTATGTTTGACGAAGCGCCAACCGACGTGTGCGTACCGCATGGCGCAGCATGGCAACCGCCCGGTGCAAAGCAATGGTGGCGTCAGAGAAGTAAGGCACTCGAAGGGGACGCTTCTGCAGCGGGAACTGGGAGACGAGGCCAGTATAAAGGTGCTCGACCAGCTCCGCGGCATGCTCGCTGACATCTCGATCCCAGCCAGGTCGAGGAGCACTGCAGATAATACTGGCCACCGCAGCCTGATTAGCCGGGTCTCCAATAGCACGGGCATCCAAGCGCCGTGCCCGATTGCGCAAAGACGCCTGACCGGCCAAAAGCAGTTCCAACTCGACCACCGTAGCAAAGTGATCCACGCCTCTGTGCCCTGCAGATATTGCACTATCCACTCTCGCACGAAAGCAGCCCTCACGCCAACCAGTAGGTAGGCAAATGTAATCAGATCTGGCAAACGCTCCGTTGCGGCGCTGACACAAGGTGCCGCCGTCGCCAAACATGCATCCCGGGAAGGTAGCGGGAATCCACGCATCAAGCGAAATGCACAGCTCGTGAAACAAAAAGCCAGCTTCATCTTCTTCATCCGCCTGATGTGAGCCGACGGAGCTAGACTCCCGGCTGCCTATCCTACAATTAGCGTCCAAGAAAAGAATCCAGGGAGTGCCATGCGCGCAAGCTGAGCATACTTGCGTCACCTGCCGCCACCAAGCGGCCTTAGCCTCCGAAGTATGCGCGCGATGAGGCGCATGGCCGACGAGCACATGCACCGCAAGTTGTCCGAGGACAATACTGGCAACTAGGAAGGTTGGGGAGGTATGTAGGACTGCAACGGAAGAGGGATTACAGGGTCCATCCTCCCGCACCCACAACTCAACTCCAAAACACGATCGATCATCCGCCCCGGACGAAAAACGAGTGAAGCCGCCACAACGCATACGCCCGGCCGGTGTTCGACACTCTTGAAGTCCAGCCAACTGAACGCATGCACCGTGAAGCGTTTCAGCCAACAGGGAGGGCCGCCCTACAGCAATCCTTGTTGGGCGTCGCGGGCCCCGTCAAGAAGAGAAAGGGCGTTGAAGGACGCGAGAACACAAGATAGCCGACCGGAGGCTTTGCAGTGACCAGAGGCACCGGTCGGAAAGGCACGCATAAAGGGGGCCATAGCCTGCTCTGGCGACCAAGTACATGTGCCAGGATCACGAGACCAGGACATCACCTGAGAGCGAACACTAGGAAGCTCCGCAGGCCGGAGGCGCACCATGCAATAATGTGGCAGCCATTTGGCCAACAAAGCGCCTGACTGGAACAATGCCTCCCAAGGACAGTGAAAAACCACAGGGCCTGGCCGAGTAGACCCTAAAAGGGCTAGAGCATCAGAAAGCTCATTGGCAACATCGCCCGCATGCCCCAGAACATGCTCGTACGACAGACGATGCGATACAAGAATCTGCAAGGAGGCGTGGACACACCGGGCAACCTCACATAGCAGAGATGACCACATCTGGGCAAGCCCCTGAACACCCTGCAGGGCGGAGATGTTATCAGATCGCACTAAGACCTCACCTACAACTGGAAGTTGCACAATCGCCAGCGCGGCAAAAAGAAGCCCAACAACTTCTGCGTCATATGCGTCAGGCCCAAGGCCTAGAGCACCAAGGTAAGAGGAAAAGGGGGCAACAGAGCCCCACAGGCATCCGATAAACTGCCCCGGCAGGGACCGGTTGTTAGAACAGACACTAAATGTAACTCCCCAGCCCGCAGAGCTGTCGGTGGGCGAAAAGGAGCCATCCGACGTCACGACAAGGACCTCTCCCGGACCTGGGGACCGACCAACATGGCCCTCTTGCACCCAGCTGGCGAAGCGCTCGGGCTTCGCAAGTCGAGCTGGAGAATCGAGTAGCATTGAAAAAGGAACTCGCTGAAAGAAGGAATCAATCTCCTCAGCGCGCCCGGGCAGGAGGCACTGGCGTGAGTCCATGTCAAAGACCTCAGGCTGCCGTGGCACGACATGGGCAGAGGCCGCTGGCGCGCAAGTGTCACCAGCAGGGTCCGATAGGACGAGGTCAGCTAATCGAAGAACAGTGGGAGGGGAAATCCCCCAGGCCTCGGATGAGGCTGATGATGCATTCATATCCCCGCATAGGCGCCCTCGGGCAGACAGAGCATGTTCCCATAGCGTCTCAACCAGGGTACTCGCAAGGAACATGGCCTGACAATCTGGACGGGCATAGGCTTCTTCCAAAAGAGTCGGACCAACATCATTTGGTCTTGCAAAGAGATCGACTCCAGAGATCGACTCCAGCCGAGTCGGGTAACATAGCAGACCGACAAGGAGTAGGCAGAGCACGGTGTCGGGGGAGCTCACATCCAGGCAGGGGAGAAACTCCAGCCGGAGCCAAAGGCGGGTGTGAAGACCAACCCCCCATAGCACAAGTCCTGAAAGGCAAACGACCCTCAGGGACAGGCATAAGGGAAGGCACAGCACCACTCGCAACCATGCCTCCCTCAGGAGGCGGGCAAGAACGAGACAGGGGAGGTATATGCATTGAGACGCCTGGGACAACCAAGAGCCAAGCCCCAAGTGCAAGTTGAAAGCCCCGCCAACTACCATAAGTGGCAGCATGGGAGCGTGACCTCCTCCTGCCATACGAAGAGGAGCTGGGAGACGCAGAGGTGTCCTCGTGCCTGCTCACAAGATGAGCGTCTTCAGAATCGGCACAAATCCACATGCCACTACGACCAGACTCAAAGTAACGTGGCTCAGCTTCACCTCGATGCGAGGCGCAGAAGCGCTCCCATAGGCATGCGAAAAACAGCCCACTTGCAGCAAAACCCAATGCACAAGCCTCGGTGGCTCCCGCAGTGGGAACACTAATTGGACCAGAGTCCTGACCGACATCGCCAGTGCGTCTGTCATGAGCAGAGGGTCCCGTCGAAGAACCTCGAGAGGTATCGTGCAAAGGTCCCGGATCATCAATTCCACTGCCACTGCACAAAAAAGGATCCTGCGAGGGCACGCTTGTCTCCCGCAAAAACTCCACAACGAGCACCTGTCCATCAAGGACAACAATGAATGGGTGGTCATCAATACGCTCTCTATGACCACCTGAGATAGAAACCCGATAATTGGGAGGACAGCCAATCTGAAACCTCTCAACCAGGGCCCGGTACGAAACACGGTTGCCCGAAGGGAGAATCCATTCAATGCCTCGTAGTAGAGGTCGAAGATCCAATAGAACCACCGAATGGCCGTGACGTGGGTATCCAAGTCTATCTGGGAGACCCGTAGCTACAAGAACATCGCACTGCCGTCGACCTAAGTGGCAGAAATCCTGCATCTTAGGCACGGCACCACGCACCGTGATCATGCTGGGGCTACAGCCCAACTCCGCAGCAATGTCCTGGCGGAGCCGAAAGGGGGCATGCACCGAGACCGGAAAGCTCATCTCGCCCACATCATGCAAGATCCACAAGTCGGTGCCATCGAGGTCAAAGAGCGCTGGCGTATGGTCCTGTAACTCCAGACCAGTCACAAGTGACCACCAGGTTGCACTCGGCGCAGGGGAGGCACCATTGGGCACAATTGAAAAGCAGAGCCCAAGTTTCATAGTGACAGCTTGACCCGGACCGAGGGCAGCCGGTAGGGGACGAACGAAAACATCAGCATTCGTGTCTCGTGCGAGACCCCCTGCAACAAGGAGCTCCTCTCGACTCATGGAAGGTTGAGCGACGACCGCAAAAACAGCACCTCCAAAGAGGTTGCAGTCGCAAAGGACGACCGGCAAGTCGTACACCCACATTGGCAGCGCAAGCATAGATACAAAGGCGGAACACGGCTGGGGTTCAACTGGCAAGAGGACGGGGTAGCGGCTCTGAGCGCCAGCGGTCCGAGCAGAAGCAAGGTCAGCCAACACCTCAGTACGGCACAAAGGCAGGCGTAGATCGACAGCAACCTTTTCAGGGTGCCGGCGAGGAGTGAAAAGGAGGAACACAGCACAGTGGCAGCCGTCTTGCATGAGCTCAGAATCGGCAACACGGCCTGAAGGAGCAGCAGACGGGGAGCCTCTGGGAGACCTGCTGCGATCGTCTGAGGCCTCTGTTGCAGGAGCAATGGTGGAGCCTGCTGCCTCAGGAGCCACTGGCAAATCCTCTTCCTCCTGTGGGTCCTCAAACCCCAGAACTTCCTCGATATACTCAACTACGAGGACCTGCCCATCTTGCAAAATAAGAAAGGGCTCACCTCGCACAACCTGAGTGCGACCGCCTTTAACCGAAACGGTATATCCTGGTGGACATCCATAACGAAAACGTCCGATCAAGGAAGCCATAGAAACCCCTTCGTGTGCCACAACAAACCACTCAACCTCGCGAAGGAGCGGTCGAAGGTCTAATATAGCAACTACAGGACGATCCTGTCGATAGGGAGTCCGATCCACAGAGCATGTTGCGACAAGCACAGCACAGTGTCGACGACCAATGACACTATGGTCAGCAATGCGAGGGACCGAAGCACGGATGGTGAGATCTTGTGGAGGGCAGTCGAAGGTTTCAGCCAAGACTGCACGCAAATGGGTGCCAGGACTGTCCGGAACTGGCAGACAGAAGGACCCAGTTTCATGAAGAATCCAAAACCCAAGTTCACCAATCTCAGGCGTAGGTGCATCAGGATCCCATCCGGTGGAGTCTCCCAGCATCTCGGACAACACAGGGCCATGCACATGCTGGCTACCGTAAGGAACGACAGCAAAGTATTGGCCTGTCTGCAGCTGGACGACCTGTCCACGCGTAAGCGCCCATGGATAATAGCTGATGTAGACATGCACCTGAGCACCGCGTCCCAGACCAGCTACAGCCAAAAGGTCCTCACGCCGCATAGCGGGAGAAACGACCGCCGCGTACATCGCACCGCTAAACAGGCGACAATCACAGAGCACAACGATCACTTGAGTGGCCCATTCAGGAAGAGCAAGCACGGAGGCAAACTGGACTGAAGGCTGCGGCTCGACGGGAACCAGGAGCGGGAAACGGTCCTGCAAGACTGGATCCCGCCCCTCCTGAAGGTCCTCCAAACTGACCTCTTCATCGTACGGGACCTGAACCTGGATGACAACACAGTCAGCCTTGACAAAGGGGGTAAAGACAAAGAAGGAGGCATCAAAGGGAAGCCCATCCCCATCGTCGTCAGGGCGCCGCAGGAGGCCTATGAATTTGGAGCGGCATAGGCAGGGCATGGTAGGGGGCACGTGGCCAGCCAGGCATGTGGGAGTTATCAACCGGCTGAAGGGGGTCCTCCCCGTCAGCAGGCGTTGCATAGGTGACCCTGGGCTGATCGGGCCCTTTAGCACACAGAGGTCCGAGAGAAACTAAGCAGTCCGCCACGGCAAGCCCTTTAGCAAAGGGAACATATGCCGGAAAAGATGCAAGCAGCTGGCTAAAGGCGGTCGACAAATAGCAGACCCCTTTATCAAGCAAGCTAAGGCTGCAGAGGGACGCATCAGGACTAGGAGGCGGGGTCCCACCTGCCGGACTCGCACGACATGACCTGGCGCCAACACTATCCGAATGTGAGTCAAAATCAATGTCTGTCGCGGAGAACCCGCATGAATTATCGTCTCTGCTGCCGTCATCATCAGCATCGTCGGGCATGTCATGATCTTCCGGAGGGTCCGAGCCAGGCCCGCCAGAACCATGTGCCGGAACAGGGCGAGCCCGGAAAACAAGGGTCGTGCTGCCCGCAACCAGAATGTCCGAGCCAACCCCTCCACGATCAGCTCAAAGCCTGCAGGAATGCAGACCTGAGCAAGAGCAAGAACACTTGGAACATGTACGTGTAGGGCGTGGGAGTGCCAGGAAAGGGGGCGCACTCCCAAAGGGCGCATGTCGCACAACACAAAGACATCTCTGCGGTGCCGCAACGCTGCATCATCGACAGCAAACCTAGGGAGGCGCACAACTTGCAAGATACCCGCACATGAAGTGCCCTGCACATCCAAATTGCACAAGTCAGAATTGAAGTGCGTAGTAAGGTGTCTACCATCGACGCGCAGGATGTCTGCAACTGACTGTGCAACCGTGCGCCCTGACATATGATGTCGCACCATGACGTAGCGCAAGCCTTCGAAGTAGACACACAGACCCGGCTCACGGGCATCCATTGGAGCATTGCCTGGCTCTCCCCAGGCCGCGTCGGGAGCAAACATCTCAGAGAGCACATGCTGTGTTCTGGGAGGTACCCCGGGAGCCAGTCCCAGGATAAGATCACCAGGAGAAAGGGCAATGGGAGCACCTGGCTCACAAGGCTGGATACTCATGCCGACAAAAAGCCGAAAGGAATCCAAATCAGCCCTAGTGTGGGGAAGGATAAAACCTTCGAGGTCCTCCAGGCTAATTCCATTAGGGAGGACCGTGGCAAAATAGTCCCCTCCTATATGGGTAAGGTCAAGCATGACCGGTACATGTCCGTACTCGCCCAATGACAAGAGAACCTGTGGGAAAACCAAAACTTCAGCGAAGCATCCATACCTCTGGGGAGCCACGGGAACGACTCGATCAAAGTACCCACAATATAGAGACGAACCCAGGGAGAGCACTTCGCGAAGCAAGGCATCGACACCTACATGGCGATCCACACAGAAAGCCCAGGAGGTGCTGCGGAAGTGGGGTGCGTGTACGATCGTGCCCAGCCATTCACCAGAAGGCGCAGGAGGCATCGGTTCCCCGGCAACAGAAACTCGCATAGCCCCAGGTCGGTTGAGGGGCACACGGTTATGTCCATCGCAAGCAGACATCAACGGCCATGGGACGCCTTCCATAGCCTCATTCAGAGCAACGGCGGCATCACCCAGAGGCGGAGCAAAGGACGAGCCGGGGACGCCAAGAGCGACAGGACCAGCTGAAGCTGACGCAGCATCATGTAGCAACGCATCAACTGTGGATGGAATCACGCCATGACCGACGGGAATACCTGCCAAACTCTCGTAAGTATCATCCTCCATCGCAGAGGAACTTATACACATATTCATACCCGACAAGAACACCAAGAATCTTGCAGGTGGAATAGCTTCGGCACAGCACGGGAAACAGGCAAGAAGCAGCGCGGCCAGAAACCCAAAAGGCCGCGAACGAGAGGAGCCAGGGCGAACACTGGCAGGGGGCTTAATACCCGATGCGCGATGCTGCAGCCGTCGCCAAACGAGCGGACCACAGGACACTTTTCCCAAGCTGCCAAATGCACGAACAGCCAGGGTAAGGGGAACATTCCGTCGAGGGCCGCGGGCCTTGGTAACAACACCTACACCGCCCAAATGCAGGAGACATACCAAGCTCAAGTATCCTGGGAGACACAGAAAGAAAGTAAACCAAGAAAAGGAGACCTGTTGGAGCCAAAGTCCCATGCCCTGAAGTGGAAGGGACCCCGCAAAGTTAAGCATCCATATGCCAAGCAGCAGGAGCCAAGCATCAGGGAGGTCCACTGGTAAAAAGAAATCCTCCCGCAGAACCCGAGTAACAAGCCGCTGCCTAATGGCAAAAAGCCATTCAACCAGGGCAGACGCGCACAAGCTCCCAAAGCCGGAGACATACCAAGGCTCCTCCCAAACACCGAACTGCCAATGAGGTTCCCCAAGGCATACCCAGACACCACAGGCGAGGAACAAGACAGTGATTACTAAGGGGCGAAGTACGCCAACCTTTATACAATAGAACAGGCAGCCCTTGAAACTGGCGCCAAGTTCCGGAGCTGATGAGGGAAGGCCCAGGTTTTCCGCAGGAAACGGCGAAGGAGGACAAACCTGACTGCAAACCCAGCAGCAGGTGAATCCTCGCGAGGAAGAGGAGCAGTGAGAGGCGCAGCAGCATGCAATAGCCCAATGCATGGCCACACCATCAACTGCAGCGACAGAACATTGATCTCTGAGCTGAACATACCGACAGGAGGGAAGAGCACAGACTCCTGTACAGCCGACAAAATTCCAGGCTACTTTGCCTACGTGAGACCTCCTGAGTCCACGATTTGCCTCACCATGCACATACCGACCAGCTGGCATGCTCAACCCGAAGGGAAACGTAGGTCCCGCCAGGGAGCAAACCAGCCGATCGGAAGTCAGGGGCGCTCGGGACTCAGGACTACAACTCACCCGTAAGGCTCCGGAGGATCGGTGAGCTCGTCGTCGTCGTCCTCCTCGAATACCGATACCTTCTGCCCTGTCAAGAGCTGCCCTGTAGGGTTCTCCGGAGGCCGGGCAGGAAGCCCAAAGGGGCGCATCGCGGCACCAATCCCTGCTGGAGTCGAGGTCTCTGCAACTGCCAGAGCCGCCTGTTCCGCGGCCACCTGAGCTGCTTTCATCGCAGCAGCTCTCTTCTCCTCCAAGCGAGCTTCCAGAGCAATCTCGTCCTTGTCCCGCGTCGCATAAGGGCTGCTTCGATGCTGAGCCGCAAGATCGCGACGTGCCTTGGACCCCGGTGACTGCATAGGCGAGAACGCTGTGGGGCCTGCCGAAGTGCTCGGAGAGCACATGTAAGGGTCGCGTAGTAGGTTCGCCTCCGTATGGGCTGGAGGTGGATGTAGTCCCGGGGGAGGTCCAGCACCGTAGGACATCAAGCCCATAGGCGCGTGCGGGCCCCCCATATGACCATCGCCGAACCAATCCTTGGCATCCATCGGGTGCCGACCTGTCGCCGGCTCCATGGGTACATCCGGCGGGCGACAGGCTTGACCACTCATGGTGTCCGAGGGACCTCGCTGTGCTGCAAGGGCACGCTTGAGTAGGGCCTCTGAATCCATGTCGGGGCCTTCGGATCTCCAGCTGGTCAAAGCCTCCTCCCATCGCCGCTCGCCAACATCCGTCTGAGGCTGTCGCTGATAGCCATGCGCTACCGCCACCAGCTCGGCACGTGCCTGTTCTTGAACATCCAGGGCTTGACGCTTCACACCGTCCAAACGCTTCAACTCGTTCTGGAAGCGGTTGTACTCGGTAGTGAAGGACTTCTTCATGTCTGCTTCCCATTCGGCCCATTGTTTTTTGCGGTCGACAATGGACTGCTCGACATTCTGCACCTTCTGTTCGGCCTTCCTCGTAGCATTCAGACGCTGCTGAAGCATATTGGCGTAAGTGAGAGGAGGAGCCACATCCTCGTCGGCTTCCGACCGGCCATATCCGCCAGGCTTTTTGTGGTCGTATGCAGGAAAGACTGCACGTTCGCTCTTCGGCGATCTGGCAGCATAGGCCCCACGCCAATAGCCACCTCCATATCCACCTTTTCCTCTGCCTCCGTACTGGCCGTACTGTCTCCACTGTTCTTTGGTCCATTTGTCTTGACCACTCATCTGAGGGCGATGTCCGTGGTGTTCTCGCAGTAGAGCAGTATCCCGGCGAGCCGGGAGCAGGTGGGCAGCTTTGGCAAGTCGCGTGCGGCGCACCGCCCGACTTCGTTTGGCTCGAGCTCTCCTGTGCCAGCAAGGGCTTCGAGGGTGAAGCCCAATGGCGAAGCCTAAAGCTGCGTCTTGCAGCTGACGCGCTACGCGCTTGGGGCACTCAGCAATCCCGCTGTTGGGTGTTCTGAGCCCTGATATCGGCCTAATTATAATTCGGAGGTTCAGACTTTGGCCCCCTAACCAGCTGAACCCCAAAAGCCGAAACACCAACCCGCAAACCTTAAACCCTGAACCCTGATTCGGAGGTTCAGAACCTTGGCGCACCTCCGAAATTGTTCACCACAGTCCGGCCATCACACCCGCCCACGGCAGAGCGGATGTACCTTGGATTCGACGGGCCCTTTGCACCCACATGCACTAATGTGGGGGCCTTAATAAGGGGCATATTCATAACATGCTTGTATGCATAGGCAATAGGGACTGCAACGGGATGCTCTGACTGGTTATTGCGACACCTATATTCCCACGTTCATCGAAACTTACCTAGACCCCCGAACTACCCTCTACTGGAACACCCAAATACCTACCTGCAGAGTGACCACCGAGACCCTTCAATTTGTACTCCACGGTCCAGTTCTTCAAATTTTCCAAAGCCATTCAAAGCCTTTAAACCTCACACCCAAACCCTCAATCCTGAACCCTGAACCGTAAACCCTGAAGAAAAAAACCCGAAGCTGACCTCGACCTCGTGAGCCATGCCCTGAGGGACTGGGAAGCGCCTAGCACACGAATCAGGGTTCAGGGATGGAGGGCTTCAGGGTTTCGGGTTTAGGGCAAAAGGGCGGAAACCCCAAGCCGCAAGCCAGCATTTTCGGATTCTGAGTTTTGGGGCTTGCAGCTTGTGTATATACATATATACATATATATGTATATGTTTCTGCAGACAATAACACACACACACACACTCTCTCTCTCTCTCTCGCTCTTCGCTCGCTTTCTCTATTTCTCTCTCTCTCTCTCTCTCTCTCTCTCTCTCTCTCTCTCTCTCTCTCTCTCTCTCTCTCTCTCTCTCTCTCTCCTCTCTCTCTCTCTCTATATATATATACCTCTCTCTCTCTATATATATATATATATATATATTTATTTATTTATGCATAGCCAGTATCCAGTGACCCCGAAATCCTTATCCGCGATGGAAGCCCCAAAGCCGAAACCCGAGTCCAAACCTTCTACCCAAACCTCGCAGATTCAAACCTCAAGTAGTCCAACACGTACCTTAAATGTGCCCTATGCAAGGGATGGGTCAGCGGCCTGGCGTCGGAAGTGTGGGGGCCTTCGTGTTCGCAGGCTCGCGGGCTTTAGGCTTTTGGTTGTTCTCGGGGCGGGGCGGTCAAAGAGCCGAATCCCACTCTCAAGCCGTAGACCTAAACTAAACCCCTGAAAGCCTAGACCCAAAACATTCTCAAAACCCCTGAAAGCCTGAACCCACAACATTCCCGAAACCCCTTAACCCTAAACCCCCCGACTCAAAAACCCCTTAAAGCCCTAACCCTCCGACTCAAAAACCCTACACCCCCGACTCAAAAACCCAAAACCCTAAAGCCCCGGACTCAAAAACTCCAAAACCCGCACGAACATGCTTCCCCAGGGACGCAATCATGCGCTGAGCGCAGGAGGCACGCCAGTAGCCGGACCAAGTGGGCTCCTCCTCGATATACCTTGGGAAGTATGGTTCGGGGGATTAGGCTTTAGGGTTTGGGGTTTAGGGTTCCTTAAAGGGATCTAAAAGGGTTCCATGAAGGGTTTAGGGCTTAGAGTTTCCGACAACTAGGGATACCTTTTTATGGGATCCTTATAATCAGGATCCGACTATTTAGGGTAATATATTCGCAACGTGCAGCAAACTTTGGGGTGCTATATTAGGGTCCCCCATTTTCGGGAACTCCCTTGTATGTTTTTTTTGATGTTTTTTTTGTTGAATGCCTTTTTCCATCTATGGTTTAGGGTTTTGGGTTCAGGGGCACTTCAAGCGTTCAGACCTTAGGGTGCGTAGGGTTTTTTTGGCTTAGGCTTCAGCATGTTTTCCGGCTTTATTTCAAGCATAAAGTTTAAGGTTTACAGTTTGGTTTCGGGTGTGGTTAGGGCTTTGACCTCGAACCCATACTTGCGGCTTGGCTCAGACGAGGCTTCGGGGCCACTGTAACTACGATAATACCTATCGTTGCTGACTACCACTAACACCTTCGCTGCTGCAAGATAGGGGATTCAGGATCCGCAAGCGTTTTTTGTATTGTTTCTGTGTCTCTCTCTCTCTCTGTCTCTCTCTCTCTCTCTCTGTCTCTCTCTCTGGGTCTGCGTGCTTTTGTGTTCGGGCGGTTGCAATGGATTGGGTCTAATAGAGTGGCGTTGATAACAACAAAAAGAGCTAGGCGTTTATAACTATAGCATGCAAGGGCTTACTCTTGCAAACCATTCAGACCTCCATATTAGGCCTGTTTCGAGTCGGCGACGGAAGTGAAGTATTCGGATCCACTGTGCAGTTTGCTTGGGGTTGAACCGCGAGGTTCATTGGACAGGAGCAACAGCACAATCAAGTAGAGGGTTTGATGAACTTAAGCCCTGCATCAGTACTTCATTCTGCTTATAGTTGTAAGGCCTTGTTTGTTTCTTTGAAAGGCTTCTTAAGGCCAGCCAACAAGGGGAGCTACCATTGAGGGTGCAGGCCAGCTTAGGCCAAGTTTAGGCAGCTGTTACGATGCCCGTGCTCCGAACCCCGGTTCACATTATCCGCCGTCCGCTCCAGACCCTACCTATAGTCTCCATTGTAGTTCCTTTTTTGGCATAACCAAAGACATACTAAGGCTCCTATAAGGTAACCCCAAAAAGGAACTACAGTGGAGACTATAGGTAAGATTTAGGCCTCGGCTGGCGGCTATCGGTGCAGCAACAGAAACCCCAGATCCGGCCCCACTCCGAATCAAGGCTGCAAAGCCTGCACATAAGAGATATGGGAATTTTCCGAAAATTAGGGGAACCGTATTGTGGGGTCCTTATCATAAGGATCCTACTATATAGGGTAGAAAGTTTAGGGCCCCCTATTTTCGGAAACTCCCATATCAGAATGTCTGTCTAGGCCAGGGTTCGGGGCGTCACCGCTTCGGTATTGAAGGCGCTGGCTTTAGGGCATATAGACGTCCTACGGTACCGATCTGCGAGTCAAGTCATTTTCCCGGGACATTGAGCCCGGGACATACTTAGGGTTCCTCATTATATTTATATATATATATATATATATATATTATAAAGGGCCCCCAAATCCTATTCTAATTACTACATTGAGAAAGGTCAAAAGGAGCACAACGAGAAACCTGAACACTGCCCTAGCCATGCCCCAGGCCCAAGCATGGGGAGATGCAAACAGGCTTATGATGTGGTGCGTTAGCCGCTAGGCGGCAAGAAATTGGCACAAGCTGTGGGATTCACGGCTTTTTGTGTATAAGATCTCTTTCAAAGTCCTTCTACATATGGAGCCAAATTGTGGCGAACAAATCGACGGCGGTTTATCAAATCCGGGGAGGCGCAGGCAGTCGCCAAGATTGTTGGCATAGTCCTGGGCTAGTGTGGACGCAGGCTCATGGAAGTCTGTGAGCAGCGTGGAGACACCTTCATTCGGGTTCTAGCTGCTGAGCGTCGATGCAGTTACCCTACAGGCTCAATGTGTTTATATGACCCGTAATATTAATATTAATGTTAATATTAATATTAATATTAACACTAGTATTAATATTGATATTAATACTAATATATGAATCAGCCCGCTTAGTAGGGTTCAAGAGAAGAGACCCCTGGACCCTGAAGCCTAAATCCTAAAATCTGAATACCCCAAACCCTAACCCTCATCCCCAACTCCTAATCCCTAAAACCCCGAGACCGAAAACCGGAACCCAGGGAGCCCGAAAACCCTGCAGCCCAAGTCTCGTGGTTGCCAAGGCCTGGCCACATAGGCAACTTCAGGTTCTTGTCCGGATCCTGCGAAGTTGCGTAACCCCAAACCACACCCTAAACCCTGTAAGCCCTAACCTCTAAACTCTAAACCCTAGACCAAAACCCAAACTTCGAAGGAGGAGGTCTGAAGTTCTAGAAACAGGTTTGTTTAGGGGTTTTCGATTCCGGGTACCTGTCCGCATGATGGGGAATTTGAGCTCTACGTAAGGTCTCATACGGGCATACAGCTCCAAGTCGGCTACACGGAAGAAGAATATCTCACCGGGCTTTATGATGATGACAGTCTTCGCAGGTTTCCAGGGTTGCAAACAGTCTTGGTTATCCAGGAGTCTGAATAGTCAGTCATAGTATCCCCTGAATAATGACACACGCCACTAGCTAGTTACATAGTTATGGTTATGTTGTGTGAGAAAATGAACCAACCACTGTTCAACCTCTGAAGGCAACTATGTTTCTTTGAGTTCATTGGAAAAAGGGCTCAAGGTCTCCCCGGCGGCATAGAAAAAGACATTGAAATCCTTACAAACTCTTTAATATAGGGGCTTTTATGGATTAATTAGAATGGGGTCGTGGCGTGTACTGTACTATCGTTACAATAAAGAATAATACGGTGGATGATATAAATCCTGCATGGCCCATAATAAGGTATATACCATAATTCCCATAGTTTAGGGCCCTTAGGGTAATGCAGGATTTATATCATCAACAGTATCAACCCGAAACTCTGGAACGTCCATCCTCAAGCCCTACGGCTAAGCTTTGACCCTGATGCTTGAAAGGTCCTATCCAACGTGAGTTTAGGGTGTCGGGTGTAATGCAAAACCAGGCAACCAACATCCAGCCAGTAATTCCCACTGAAGCGGCCATAGCTTTCGTGAGCACTTATAAGGTTTAAGGCTTTATGGCTTACTTGTTTAAGCTTAGTTAGGGCCGCGGCTCGATCAGACCTGTCCTCTCCCGGCCGCGTTTCCCAAATCTTCCGATAGGCATGGAACCTGGGCGCACTCAAGCTGTCTGATGTAGGGCCCTCAAAAAGCACATAAACAAAAATCAAGATAGGGATACCCCATTTCAACCTCCTCATCGTGAAGTCCACTAGCGTAGGGATATCCCTGTACAATGCATGTGCTTAGGTGTTTTTTGAATTTTCAATAATCAGATGCAGCCACCGTTCACGACGGCGTGGAATTTGGGGCACAAGAACCTAAGGAATGTTGCAGCAGAAACTGATATATACGGACTTTGTAACTTTAAATTTTCAGAGACGCGATGGTTCCGACTGCTCCGACGCGGGTCATATCGGTTTAGAGTTCGGGGGCTTTGATGCTTACAAACCTTTCTAGAACCCGTATAACACCCTTATAGAAACCTTACGGTCTGTGGGCATGCTATAGTGCAGCTAGGTTGTGTTTTGTAACCCAGAGGGTCCACAGATACTACCACTAGGGAATTAGGTCGCAAAAGACCATGGTTTTGGGGGCCTAATTCCATAATAGTAGTGTATATGGACCCTCTTGGTAAGGAACCCGACGGATCATATAAATTCGCAAGACTGGAAGCCCGATCTTAAGCTTGAGAGCCTTTTCCAGAAGCCCGCCAAACCTTAAGCCCCCAACTCTCTAAACCCTAAACCCTACGCCTTAAACCCTGTTTTTCTAAACCCTATAAACCTTAAATCCTTTTTGCTAACCCTAAACCGGAAACCGTTTTTTCTAAACCCTAAACCTTAAATCCTTTTTGCTAAACCCTAAACCTGTTTCCCTTTTTTCAGAACCCTAAACCTTAAATACTTTTTGCTAAACGCTAAACCTTAAACCCTTTTTTCTAAACCCTAAACCTTAAACCCTAAACCCCAAAGCCTTCGCCTCCAAGGTGCTGGTAGGGATGCGCAAAGGCCGTGAGATCGCCGGTGATGTGTACCCCAAGGGGTTCCTGAACCTGGCGACGTCTTTCTCTGGGTTGGCCTTTAAACACCCTGAAAAATGTTCATATATAGGGCCCCTTATAAACCCAAATAAGGAAAATACAAAATGTCCCAAAATCCAACCTAGTTCTGCTTTAGGAGTTTAGGGCTTGGGTGTGGGGTTTAGGAATTGGGGTTCACAATTTAATTGGGGTCTAAAACTTAGGAGTCTAGGGCTTGGGTGTGGGTTTTTTTTAAGTGTAATGCAACACTCCTTTGACTCCAAAAGGCAGTCGGCACTGGGTGTGGGGTTTAGGAACTGGGGTTTAGGGTTTAATTCGAGTTTAAATTTTTAGTCTTTGCAGTTTAGAGTTCAGGACCAAGGTCTTTTGCTATTAATTAGGGTTTCTTGATTCTTGAGGTTCGCTTCCTGAAGCAACCCTGACCTGGCTCAAACCGTGACCGTGACCCTATCAGCCCTGAATCCTCAGACCCATCGCAAGCCCTAAACCCAAACCCCAGCGCTAATCCCTGAACCTTTAACCTGAAACCCTAAAGCCCTGACATACCCTCTCAACCCCGAATTCTCCACCCTAAGACCCCTAAAGCCCTTAACCTCTGATACCTTGAGACCCTAAACTTCAGACCTCAGCAGCCCTCCTACAAACCCCGACACTTGACCCTACCCAAATGTCTCTCAAAGAATGTAGGGGCCTTAATCCTGAGAACAGGGCATGATAAGGGGCTGTTTTTGAAGGGTTCGCATAAGAGATAAGTAAGGAGCTGTTGCAGGGTTTCTGTCCAGGGGCCTTCATGTTGAAATCGTGCTTTGGGAGCTTCTTTCAACATACTTATCTTAGTTGCTGAGTTCATAAGCCCCCAAAAGTGTGCACTTTCGTTTTTTGTAGTGGGTAATATTTTCCCAAAAAAATCCACTCAGCTACTAAGTTAAGTTCAGGTACCCTGCCTGTTCGTCGGATGCGTTGAAATCCTCGCCCACGACCCACTTCAGCTCCCGAACTTCGTGGATCCCTTGTACAATCCGAAAGTTCTCCTTCGCTAGGCCAGGCAGCTGGGCGAATATGAGGGGGCCTTACTAATTAGAATAGGGTTTTGGGGCCCATTAGACTATAAGTAAAATAAGGAACCCTCAAAATCGTATGGGTAATTAATTAGTTACTAAGGCCCCTTTATTGGGCGACAGGCGTTTGTTTTTGGAGGGGAAAGGCTGGGGGACGGGCGACTCCCTCTTGTCATGGGGCAAAATCCTAACGCATCGGGGTTCACTGCATTGCTTTACCTAGGTATGAGAATAAGCACGACTGAACAGCCATTATGAGGACCGAAATGTATGAACAAACATTCAACTTTAAGCAAATGACGACGTGTTCGTCTTTGCAGACTTTAGTTTTCGAGTTGCGTAGGCCGCGGATCAAGTGTCTCCACTGACTACTTAAAAGGCTGCAAGTCCTTAAGCTACTGCCTAACTGACCATGAGCAAACGAACTCCGTTCAGTCTAGAGCATTCTAGTGCCTTATAAATTAGAACAGAGTTCTGCGCAAGATTTTTAAGCGATTCCGTAAGGGTTTAGTGAAGCATAGAGGCCTTAGAAATAAAGTAAAAGTGTTGGGGTGCACTGTGGTATACCGATTCAGGTAAAGGGGATGTTGTCACCAAAAGCTCAGACCGCCACGTTACCGCAGACATATCCAAATCAAGGCCGGTTGAGTTGATTGGGTCGCTGTGTGCTTGCAACTCCGGATCTCTCGTGCCCCAACATCTGACAAGGTCTAGGGACTATCCAGTTCAGAGTTTGGCGATCAAAGTTTGCACGGTTTCAATATTTGAACTTAGGACTTGCACTAAAGCCTTACTAAACCCTCCAGGTTCGGCTAGGGTTTACTTAAAGGTTCTCCGAGCACAGGGTTGTCTAAAACCTAAGGGCTTCTGTAAGGCTTCCTCAAGGATCCGATGGGAGGGGTTGCTTTCCACGTTAGTCAAGGGCATTCAGCTGAATGCAGGGGCATAGGGCTTGTACTATACGTGGTCGAAAACTACATGATCATCACGAGACAATCACATAAATACTCACATACATGCTTCTATTTGTATTAACTACTTAACTACTTGTCGATGTGCGTATGTGGAGATACGTATATGCATAAGCCTGTGTATGTATATATATATATGTATATGTATCTATCTATCTATATCTATCTATATTTTTATGTATATAAGCACATAATTGTATGACTGTGTGCATAACTGTGAAATATATATATATATATATATACACACACACATGTAGTCATCGGTTTTTCTATATTTATACGTACATAAATATACATGTATACATATCTGGGGAGATAGCGATAGAGAGAGAGAGAGAGAGAGAGAGAGAGAGAAACAAAAAACATGAATGACCGTAACCCACTCCCTCAATCCTTTCTGATCTTCTGTTCGGCTGCTGCATTAAACTGTGAGCACCATATGCAGCCCGGATGCTTCCATGGCGCAGCCCATGTTCCCCCTAGGCTTGTCACCACACCAGGGCAGCTGGGTGTCCGAGACAAATATGACCTGGGTTTAGGGTTTAGGAGGGATTGTTTTTGACGAGAATGAGAGGGCTGTGCTAGGAGTTATGCATGATCTTGACAGTCACTCAATACCTTCAAGGAAGGTTAGAGGTTCAGGGTTTAGGGCTATGGGGCTCGAAGGTAAGCTTAAGCGTGACGGCTTAAGGCTTAGATCTTTAAGGCTTAGGGTTTCGAGTTTGAGGTCCATGGCGAAGGTGGGCCCTTCATGGGGTTGTAGTAAGAAGGGGAAAGGTTGCGTTTTCACAATCGAAGCAGAGACCTATGAAGCCAAAGTCCATGCTTCCAGAGCCCTAAAGTCCTAAACCCTGAGCGCAGGGTGCGCATCCGGACCACACTAAACCCTACACCGAGGCTCTAATGCTACAGCAACGCCGGAATCCCCCGAATCTATCTGTAACCCTACCTGGCCACGAAGAAACCTACATGTTCAGGGTTCTGGTCATGCGGCTTTTTCAAAACGGCAGGTATCGGTAGGTTTCTGGGGTTAAGCCTTCCGCAAATCTACATCTCCCGGCCGCAGACCCTCGTTCCAAACTGAACTTTGCTGCATTATGCCATTATGCATCGTACAGTACAGTCGCGCTCATTGTGTGGGGTGCTTTAGGTACTGCAGGAACACGCTTGTAGCTACGAAGCTGAGATGTCGCACTAAGCGGTCGGACAGGTCGGCCGAGTTTAGAACGTCAAAGGGGAAGGTTCAAGGTTCGTGCACCCTTTCCAGCTCTTCAAACCGGACCCCGGTGCGCAGGCGGCGGGCGGTGAAGTCACGGATTCCATCGTCAACGATTCTCCCTGGACCAAAGGAGTCTCCCAAAGTACCTGGCGTTACAGCTTCAGAGTTCAAGCTGCAAGACTTCCGGGGAGTGGGGAGCAAGGGGTTCAGGGTTTTCAGGGCTCACGACCACCACGAGTGCCACTACCGAAGCTCGTCATGCTCGTAGAGATTGTGTGGAAGGACAGCGCAATCTATCTTTTTTGTTGGGCCCTCGATTGAAAGGACCGGGTGGTGGGGTAGGGCCGGGGAGCTCAGCAAAATCGGGTTGATTCGGACGCTACTTGTAATGCGCTTGAAACAGGTGCATCCACAGCTATGCCCGGAGCCCTATGTTTGATGGTGTCGTACTTCCAAAAGCCCCTGCCCAAGCCTGGCCGGCGAGGGGTTTCAATGTTCAACAAATCTGCATCTCGAGGGTTTAGGATTTGAGGAAATCCGGCTTTGCGGGTTGGGCTGTAGGTTTCTTATCCCTGGATATGCTCTGGCTAAGCTTTTCAAGTTTGCGAAACCCTACCTCCCAATGCCGCTAGAAGTCTAAGTCATGCATCCTTGGAAACCGATTGACGATAAAGGTGGCATCATCACAGCCACCAGCATCATCATCACTGCCGGCGTCATCGTACCTGTGGTCGTCGTGGCTGTAATGTCAACATAAGTCATCATCGTCACCGTGCTCAGTCCCTGCAATGGGTCATCTTCATCGCCATCGCCATCCGCCACCAGCCATCACCATCATCATGATCATCATCAAACTCACCTTCCTCATCTTCATCACCACCATCATTATATTCGTCTTCATCATCACCATCACCATGGTCAAGTTCATCTTCAGCATCATCACCAAGTAATCATCATCATCATCACCATCATCATCATTATCATCATCACCATCGTCATCAAAATCTTGTTGTCCGCGGTATCCATCATCAGAAACATCTTCACCGACGTCAACATTACTATACAAAAATCAACGTGACATTCAACAACATCATGGCATGCATTGATGGCTATTTTGATATTGATGACCCTGTAGAGCCATCATCATCAGCATGATCACCATGCTTCTCCTCCTGCTCCTCCTCATCCTCATTATCACCCTCTTCGTGTTCACCATCATTGTCGGATACATGGTCAGTCAGGCCAAATGTCCCTTTCCGATCGGGCAAAGCCTGGATTACGGGGATGCACACCCCAATTCGAAGAATCCTTCCGTGCGCAAGAGACCGTAACATAACAACAAAAACAGCACTCCCAACTCTGTGCCGCAAGCCGTAGGCAGCCGACAGACCTGAACAAGAAACCTTGCAGCATTTCATCGGTTCTGGAGCCTTAAAGAGCCCTAAATCCCTTCAACCCCCGCATGCCCCCAAAGCAGGGAAGGTATGCAGGTCGATGGCAACTCGCCCAGACCACGGTCATAACTTTCCTGGGACCCATGGGGGCTTCAGCTCGTCTTAAATACGCAGCATTTATGTAAGGGCTTGGGGCTCATGCTTTTTGTACTTTGGGGTATGGGCTCTTAAGGCTTTAAGGATTTCGATCTTTGCTTTTTTTTTTGGGGGGGGGGGGAGGGGTTGCCGCTTGTAAGGGCCTGGGCAACATAACAAGAGTTGACCCTCGTCTGGCAGTGCTGACGACACGACAGCTTCCGGGGATGGGTAGGGCTGTCCCAACTCAACTCATGCTTCAGGCAGGAACCTGGCATAAGCAGGCTACGATGCTGGAGCCGTAGATAAAGCTCACTTTACTACGTCCATCTGGCAATAGTGGAGGCTTCGTGCGAGGGCTTGCAGGTCATGCGACTTGTCGTTTGCGCAGCGGTACTTTCAAGGGCCCCGAACGCTGGACCCTAAAGCGACCTAAATAGGGTCAAAGGCTTAAGGTACCCCAAACCGATAAACGATTGGAGTGCTATGTCTTGCCCTTGGGTGGCTGCAGGCCGTCGATTGCTTCCAAACTCTTTCAGCTCAACCCGACAGCTTAAAAGCCTTCAAAGCCTAATGTCGACCCCCCGCTGGGATTGTATTCTGACAGGGATCCCGAATAAGCACCTTCAGGAAGCGGAGTTCAATATGAATCAAGGGTCTACAATAATCCGTGCAGGTCCTTCAGACAACTTTGGAGCGGCAAGACCGTCTCTCTGCTTCGCCTCCCGATTTAAGCTCAGGGCTGGATGCTTACCAGACCATCACCGAAAAGCTTGCACCATAAACAGGAAGGCCGGGAACCCACTTTCGGCACAAAGACTTGAGCCTAAACCCTAAACCCGTAAGGAAGATTTCAAGCCATGGCTCCATCAGCTTCGTATCAAGATTCCACCCGCTTCTCTTGCAGAACCCACCAGCGATCTCAAACCAGCCTGATGGGCACTCCTGCAGCGGACAGGGGCCGTAATGGATATAATCAAGAGCGTGGCTTTGGGTTGTCTTTGGGTGTAGGAAATTATATAGGGGCCTCAATAGATACAATGAAGATGGGGGTGCAAACTTGCTAATATAGGGGCCTTCATGATTGGAATAGGGTTTAGGGGCATAAATAGACGCAACGAAGACCGGAGTAACAAATAGTGTGATTCTGCAGGGGCCGTCATGATTAGAATGGGGCTTCGGGGTACACTATAATTTTATGAAGATGCGGGTATACAAATATGGGGTCTTAACTTAATAGTCAGAACAGGTCGCTGGGGTACAGTTAGCTTCACACCACATAATGATTAGCATAGGGCTTTGGGAACGGCTATTCGAGAATACTAATTTAGATGCCATGAAGATGAGAAGAGGGCTTTGGGGTCTCTCGTGATAAAGGAACCCAAGGAGTCATACTGGTACTTATGTTGGCTTCTATGTTGGCTTTGGGATTTCTGGTTGCAGGGAGTGTTTAGATGCCTCGGGGCCTCAGCTTAGTCTCTCACTCGATTCTGTCCTTTGAGGTTTCAGGTTTCCACGTGTCTGAGGGCTTCGGACTGGCCATGGGAAGTATACACCCGCGGGACCAAGAAGAGGATTTTGGCTTCAGGGTTTCTGAGCCTTCAACCCCAAAGCACAGCCCGGAGAACCGAAACCCGCAAAACCTAAAACGGTTTAAGATCACAAATGCCTGCCCTCAAACTGCTAAAAGTGAACCGTTCGGGGCTTTTGGGCTTTACCTAAACCCCTAAAAGTAGTGAAATAATTGCCCAAAGCGGCTATTATTCTACATACTTTTGGGGTCCAGGTAGGGGTTTATCAAACTTGAAGACCCTCCCATCGCTTTTTGGCTTTACCTGGACCCCAAAAGTATGTAGAATAATAGCCTTGTATAGGTTTTGGGCCATTATTTTACCTACTTTTCGGGGGTCCGCGTAGGGTTCTTAAGCTCCGGGCTTCCCAGCCTCTCGTTTCCTAGCTCTGCCGTCACGTTTAGGGTTTAGGGTTTAGGGTTCACTCGGATCCCTGTTTGGATCCCGCCCAGCAGAAGGATCGCTGCTAAAAATTCGGGACCGCGCAAGGAGACCCCCGTTCAGAGAACTAGTTATAGTTATAGTATACTATATAGTTATCACAATATGTTATAGTATGTTGTAGTACATAATAGTATATGTAGTGGTATATTATATATACACAGAAAAATTACAAAATCCTTTCGCTCTGCTTTCGGGGTGAGCGGTTTAGTGCCTGAGATTTTCGAGACTTGAGCATACCAGTGTTTAGAGCGCACAGTGCTATCAAAGTTTGATTCCAATGTAAAAGAGGCTGTTGGCTTAGTGTATCGGTGAGTATATACCGGGATTTGTAGGAATGTTGATGAGCATATCTGAATGTCCTGCTAGGCGACGGCAGTAAAGGTCTAATGCTACTTCCTTTACGAGTTTGACCAAAAGTTGAAAGACCCACGAACGTCAGGGTCAAGGGTGTGGGACTTAAGCCATTGGAAGTTTCCGAAAATTAAGGGGGCCTTATTTTGGGCTTAATGAGGATCCTACTATTTAGGGTACGATCTTAGGGTCCCCTATTGTCGGAAGCTCCCCTTAAAAACTCTCAAGAGTTTAGGACTCAGCCGGCCGCGCCTCCTTCCAGCAGAGGCTCAAGATCGCCAGCGTGTAGTCGAAATTGCAGTAATCGTAGCAAAGCCCAGCATGAAACTCTTTGCCGTTCACGCACATCATGACTTCTCCAGTTTGAGGATCATAGAGACCGTCCACCGGTGAGGGATCCTTCACCTTATCTTGAATCTTATAGGGTTTAGGGTTTAGGGTTCAATCTTCCCAAAGTCTGTATCAAGGTCATTATCTTCAATCTTCCAAACCCTAAGGGTCCAGGTATCATCCTGGTATATACTCATAGGGCATTTTGGGGGTCTAAGTATGTCCCATGATGATACTTGGACCCTTTGGGAAAGTCTGTATCAAGGTCATTCGAACGTTCAGTCGGCACGAGACAGCAACAGGTACGAAGCAAGTCCCGCAACTACACTCCAAACTTTAGATCCTAAAGCCCTGAGCACCAGATGTTAACTTCTTGACACTACGGCAACCTGTCTTGAGTATGGTAGGACTCTATTGATCCTACCCGCCCAGAGACCTGAATAATTTGAACAAATTGTCAGGGCACACTAGTGAGAAATTATAGAGGCATCTGCGCTATACTATTCGGATACTGGAGAGGCAAGCCACATCTCCGAAGTCCTCTCCACTGGGACCTCCGGCCAGAATGATGTTGCCATTCCTGGGCTGGACTTCGAGGCCCTTTGAAAATCCGGGTTTAGGATTTAGGGCATCTGAACATCAAGGCCAATCTCTAAACCCTGAACTTTGGGGTTTAGGGATTAGGAATGCCCTAACCCTAAACCCTAAACCCCTAAACCCAAAACCACCCAACCCTAAGAAAGGCCCAGACTCGCATCTCGTTGCGGCTCCGGTGTTGTGGTAGGAATTCCCTGGGCAGGGTCCTCCTTCTCTTCGGAGTACTCCGCTCCGAAGAAGAGCCTTAGCTCGTTAAGTAAGGGCTTAACATTGGGGGTTTAAGGGCTTAACATTAGGGTTTAGGGTTTAGAGTTAAGGGTTTATAGAGTTTAGAACTAGGGGTTTAGGATTTATAGGGTGTAGAGTTAAGGGTTTAGGTTTAAAGGGTTTAGGGGTTCAGGGTCTGCGGTTCAGGGTTAAGGGTCAGCTCAGGGCTTAGGTTTGGGTTGCTTTGAGCAGGACATCATGACGAGGCTGTTGCTGTCGCTGCTGACGTGTGGATGCGTGAGTGGTGCTTCTTAGACTCGGTCCCTTCAGGCCCAGAGGCCACGGGTTTAGGGTTTAGGGGTTTAGGGTTTCACAATTCGGGTGCGAATACGTGTATGGAATGCATGATTTTGCGGTACCCAAAGGCCCCAAAGTAGTTCCTCTTTGGGGTTCATATATAGAATCCTTTATAAGGTAATCCCGAAAAGGAACTACTTTGGGGCTTATGGGTAATTACATTCACATGATTCCAAAAAGGGAGCCCATGGGCCTCGAGACAAATAATTACTGTTTAGGCGACCCTGAGCACTGGAGCTTCCCTCCTCCTGGACCCTCAAGTAAAGCCCTGCATTAACACGTGTGTTCGGACCCTATATGGAAAGGAGTAGGAAGACGATGGAACAAGTTTTCGGGTTTAGGGTAGCTTAGTATCTAAGGCGAGCTGCTGAGCATCTGCCTGCTCCGTCGCGGCAGCAGGGTCTTGGCCACTGGCTGCCAGTTCTGCCTTAAGCTGATGCAGGGTGTCGCAGGGTGTCGTCCACCAGCCACAACTGTGTTCAAGTTTTGTGTTTGGTGGTTGGGGGTCGGAGGGTCGAAATTATCCTAACCGGTAAGCTTACAGAAGGGACTGCCATGGGGCCTGGGTTTTTGCACATCCAGTGTTTTGCACTTTTTGCACTACTTGCTCGGTACTTGTCGTTCAGGGTTGCTTTGCATGCTTCGGAAGGCCCTCTGGACCCCTGGAAGTCCTGCAAGCCGTAGTTACACAGCACAAGCCTTACACCCACACCCTAAACCTTCAGCAAAACCAAAAAAACCAAAAAAAAACAAACAAACCAAAAAAACAAAAAAAACAAAAAAAAACAAAACAAACGATTTCCGCACTAGTCTGAAGGATTCCGACTAGTGCGGAAATCTTTGTTTTTTTTGTTTTTTTTGGTTTTTTTGGTTTCCGCCACGGCTGATGTGCCCGGACAACCTTCCGCTGTGGCTGTTCTTCTGCGTGTAGGGTCTACGTAAACAAGACTACTGTCTAATCTATCTTATGTTATGCTTATAAGCAGTCCGGCTGCTTATGATTCTACGCAGGCTTTCTGCTTATAAGCAGTCCGGCTGCTTATAAGCAGGCTGTCTGCTTATAAGCAATCCGGCTGCTTATAAGCAGGCTGTCTGCTTACAAGCAGTCCGGTTGCCTACAAACAGGCCTTCTGCTTATTAGCCCTGCTTATAAGCAATATCCTGTTGTTTATAGGCACTCGTGGGCCGCATGAGTAGCTATTCTAACCCCACCCACGCGTGCGCCAGACACCAACCAAGACGGAGAACACGAGAACGCGCACCAATTGCACAAACAACACCGTAAATTTGATTTGATATCCTGACCTGTTGCATGTTTGATGGAAGAACATGCCAAGCTTATCTAGCATACCACACCACGTGAATTTGTTTGTATTCCCGGTTTCTGTTGAGTATGCAATTCATGATTTGTGGGGGGGGTGCGTATGAACGCCCTTCCTTGTTTATGAACACAGACTTGTTTAGAAGAAGTGAGCATCTTATAGAAACGCTGTGTGTGCGAACAATTCAACGGTCCAAGCACCATGTAAACCATCGGGATATGTCAAGGGGAATCGCGAGGATAGAAGGCATCCAGATGGGCCTCGACCATATCTTTTGAACACGTGTCGGGTTTGTATACTATGTCATATACTGCCGCACCATGTCATAGAATAGATGCCACGTGCTCTAGAAAGTCCGTTTTACACGTGAAAGTTACCTTTTTATACGCCCAAATATTGCAGACATGCGTGTAGATAAGTTATCTGACCATCTTCCATCTATCTATCTGCCTATCCATGTATCTATCCATCTGTCTATTTGTCTACCCATCCATCTGTACATTCATATACATACTGGTCTCAGCATGGATGATGTCACCGGCTTCTTAACCTGGCAACTTACAGACATTGTAAAACCCGGATACAATCTATGACAGGATATGTTATGGCACCGCACAATAGACAAAGCACGTGTGTATAGTGTATATGTTTTCGCCGATTTGCAGAAATAACATCTTGCCACGGTCACATTAGCTGTGCCTTGTTGTGGGGCCCATTATAGCAAGTCATTGAGAAATGCGGCTGTACTGAGATATTGCAATAAAGATTGAACTGAGTACTCACACGCCACAGCCTTCAACGAGTCAAGACCTAGGGGAATCAGAACACGGAAAGTCGGCTCTGCACCCGAGAGTACCGGGTGTTAAAGTTGTAGAATGAGCTGGAACGATGTATGAAATACTTACTCATGTTTCATATTTCCTTTCACTTCGCTTACGAGCGCCGGCATATCTGCCGTGCACTTCGTATTGTGGCAGTAGAGCGTACCATGGTAGTGCAAACACAGAAGCAGTGCATGCATAGGCTTATGAGTGTATGTATCCCTGTATTAGTAAGCGAAGGCATGTCCGGGTTTCTGTGTGCATCGTTAGTTACAGCGCCATAAAACCAGATGTGTATAATATATGTGTTCCCCTATTGGCAGAAATATATACAGTTTTGCGATAGTCATTGGGGTTGCGGATTGGGCTGAGACGCCACATAAGCAAGTCGTACTGACATACTGAAATACTACAATACAGACTCAACTGCGTAGTACTCTCGCAAACACACAGACCTTCACCACCGAGTCAGGACATCAGGGAATCAGAACACGGCAAGGCGGCTCTGCACCTTAGATTACCGGGTGTTAACGTGGTAGGTTAAAGTGTTAACATAAGCTGGAATGATACATGAGGCAACTACTTAAATGATTCTTTAATTTCGCTTGGAAGCGGCTTAGTGGATTGTGGTGGTAGAGCATTCCACGGTTCATGCAAATATATACAAAAATCACATGTACGGGCTTTTGAGTTTATGCTTGCTTGCATGTGTATCTGTAAGAATAAACAGGCCGGCACATTCACGTATATATATATATATACACATGCACATACATGCTTCATAATGTTACACCTTTGTCAACAGTAGCATGCGTAAATGCATGCGCGCATAGCAAAAATCTATATGAGACCAAGAAACACAGTACTCAAGAAACCCAGGCCCCATGGCAGGCCGCTCTCTAAGCTTATCAGGGGTTCGGGGGTTTCGGGTTTGCCGGTTTTCTCAGGTCTATAGACTCTAGACGAAGGGACCGATAGGACCAGGCAGATGATGTCCATGCTCAACCCTAAACTTTAGAAAAGAAACACTACTGCACACAACGGAAACCACTGCTTATATGACCCGGTTACAATGGCCAAGGTTTCAGCAGCCGCTTCCATGGCAGCTGCTGACATGAAGGAGGCGTCCTGAAGCGTTGGAACTCATCAACACTCCTTCTGAAGGCCTCCAGGTTTAAGGGTGGGAGGTCTTCAAGTTTGATAAACCCCTACCTGGACCCCAAAAGTATGTAGAATAATAGCCTTTGCTAGGTTTTGGGCCATTATTTTACCTACTTTGGGGGGTCTAGGTAGACCCTAAACCCCTAAACCGTCTGAATGCGAGTCGAGCCCTGACCTTCCTCTGCAGAGCCCCGAGACAGGAGACACCAAAACGAGAGATCAGGCTTCATGTTGAATCGTATTGGTGTGGGGTCTTCAAAGTCTTCCTAGAGGGTCATACCCTACCCCTTTTTCAGGGTACCTAGTTTTATGGTTAGGTTCTCTTATATAGAAAAGTAGGTACCTTAAAAAAGGGGTAGGGTATGACCCTCTAGGTTGGGTTTAGAGACTATGGTTCAGGGTTTTGGGTTTGGGGATTAGGGATGAGGGGTGGTTTTAGCAAGATACAGCCTCGGTCCCTATGATCATGCGTCGCAAGCAATTGGTTCGTTCATGTCCAGGTGCACCCCAGATATCCTAAACCCACGTACACAACAACCTGAACTCTTCTAACCCAAAACTTACCCCCCCCCTCTGCCCTGTACCTTCTGCGCTTAAAACCCCTCCAAGACTGGCCTTACGTGAGCGGCGCACCACGTCGTGCACAAGGAGGGTGGCATACTCTTCCGTACTCAACGATCCATCTTTGTCCGCATCCGCCGCCTGCACCTCAGGTATTTGCTTGGGTCTTTTGTTTCAATATATGTGTGTACTTAGAAACCCTTAAAGGAACGCACCAGGAACGCCCAAAAAAACAATCCTCAGAGGAACTCCCAAAGTCCTACAGGAACCCTTGCAGATGGGCTCTTCTCCCCTAGACATGGCGGTGCGTCTTGAAGCTTCGTGGGCAGGTTTAGTCTCTATAGGGCTTAGTGTACCGGGTCCTTGTTAAGGACTAAGGATGTAGATTTAAGATACCATAATCTAAGTTACCGTAATATCAGGAAACCGTAGTATTTACAACGATCCCTATTGTGGTAACTTAAATGGGAGTTAGGATTAGGGGGACCCTTGGGGACATAGACCCTCTCAATAAGGCCCCTTTTAAGAGAGCCAGAAGTAGGATTCAGGAGGGGTACCCTTTCAGGGGTCTCCCTAGTAATACTACCTATTAAATTCCTGAAGAAGAGCCCAGTGTAGGCCTTTGCCCTCAAGCCTTGACTCATGGCCTCGGGTTTCCTGCTCGAAGTTCAGGGTTAGGGTTTAGGGCTTATTATAGGGTCTAGGATTGAAGGTTCAGGTTTATGGCTTTAGGGTTTAGGATTGAGAGTTTTGGGTTTAGGATTTATGGCTTTAGGGCTTAGGGCGTTTAAGGTGTAGGGCTTAGGGTATTTAGGGGTCTGAAAATCAGTACTGGTATCTCGTGATTTTGCCGATGTACGCGTGCCGATATACGACGAGCTAAGACTCTGCCATACCCCTAAACGCTATTCCCATTATTAACTTGGCCCGATAGAAGACCTAAGGCGTCGCGGATTCGAACTTCAGCGGGGGAAGGGGCTTGGGTTTCAGGCCTGCTACTTTAGTGTATGTAGGCCTCGTTGGGGATTAGGTTTTGGGTTTGAGGGAGGCTCTATGGCACCTGGTCATAGACCCCCAACCCTTACCAAGGGAACCGCAAAACCTTCTTGTCTTAGACTTAACGGGGTGTTACACCATGTCAACCATGGAAGAAGAACAAACCCTAACCCATTGTATTAAACTAGAGCACCCTCTAAATGATAAGTCTAGAGTCTACAGTTTAGTTTCTTAACAGATCTTAAAGCTGACGATGGCCCCATGCATCTCCGCACAGGAGTTTGAAACCTTCGAAATGCACCTACAGCTCATTGAGACCTTACACACTCGCTGCCCCTGTCAGCCCAAAGCTCACGAAAACACCCTTTCATCAGACCCAACCTAACGAGCGGCCATGAAGGACCCTTGACGAAGGCAGCAGGCTCTGTGATCTAAGGACCCAGTTGCATCCCAACCTTGTAAAACAATCCGAGCGCCAAGTCAGACAAGATTCCAGAGGCGCCAGCCCTGCCACAGTGGCCTCCGACGCTGTCAGCCGATCGTCGAACGGGGCCGTGTCTGCCTGCCCCCACATCTGAAACAAGAAAAGTTACACTGAGGATCTAGGGACCCACACCGAAATACCATACTTTATAGGGTCTTTGGGTCTAAAACCAGAGGGGACCCCTAACACGGAGTCACTGGGCTATGGGGAGTTAAGTAAAGAGTCCAAGAGTCCTGAGTCCAAAGTCTGAAAGAGGGGCGCTGAAACTCGAACCGGGGTCCTTTTAACGAGACTGTACTAAGGTATTACAAGCTTTGCGTTGGATAAGGTGCAAGGACCTTCGTCATTCTATTGGGGTTTCGGTGTTCTCTACTTTCTAGGGAGCCTGCACATAGTGTAATATCCGCAAACGGAACTTTACCCTCCAAGGTGCAAACGGTTCTTCTCAAAGCGCCCATGAACCCTCAAAGCGGAACGTACCTTGGATCATCTTCGGGATCCATCTGTAACCTAAGGTATGTGCCTCCTTTGAAAGGTGTGTAGGGTCCTTTGCGTGGAGTCTGGCTCGGGTGTAGGACTCAGGGCTACGCCGGGGCAACACGAGGGCCAGCGTTTCAATATTTAGAACAGAAACCTTAAAGTCAAGATCGTAAACAAATTCCCTGTAGGAGTCTGACAAAAAATAACAGAAACCACCAACAAACATGGGCCCGATCTTTTCTAGGGCTTGAGGCTTTGAGTGTCTAGAGCTTGCTCCTTCGCCCACTCTCAGCAAAGTGAGGAGCCTGAGTAGCACCTGAATGTAAACTCTTCAAGGCAATCTCCCCACAAAAACGTAGCCGCAGCAGGAGCTGGTCCGTTGAGCTCCGCTGGGGCACACTGTGCGGGCCTGCTGGAAGCTGAACAGGTACCGGCAAGGCTGTTGGCGCTCGGTACCTCGCGCAGTGGAGGAGAATCTGACCATAGGGGTCCGTCAGGTAGTTGTCTACGTCCAGCAGGTGCACACCAGTGTTCCGACTGCCATAGCAGTATGTCGGTGGCTCCCTGACACAACGTCAACACGTCCTCCGTGAAGGGCTCCTCGGCGTACTCTGCCAAACGACCCGGAAGGAACTTGCCCTTCTGTCTGTCGTGCCGGAATGTTCGGCTTGTATCATTTGAGGGTTTAGGGTGTCGTGCACGTAGTTTAGGGGCCTAGCATTCCGATGTTAAGCAACTGCTACCGTCAGGGGCGAGTGATTTCCATGTGATAGTTAGGGGTTCTCCTATACACCAGGCCCATATTCTCAAATGCTCAAGACCCGAAAAAAGACTTCTCCGGACGGATTTTTGTCAACACCGAAATCGGATTTATACAGCTGTTGTAGATGTTGACAGGGTTTTCTACCCCTGACGTATGCAACAATCGCAAAAGAGACCTAACAGGCAAATAGCAGACCCCTAGGCCGAACAACGGATTCCAAATGGAACCTGAGGCTTGAACGTGATAGCTTTATCGGTGCCCTCAGCCTCAATAGAACGCCCAAGCCAGCTCCTCAAAGCCACAGATCATACAGCCCAAAGCCCTTAACCAATCAGCTGACCGGGCCTAAATCCGGCTGCCAACCCCAAGCACAGGAACCCTTCAAACAACAACCTGAAACCCGAAGCCCTATGAACCCTACAGGCCTATAATCCTATAAGCCCTGAGTCCATAAAGTCACAAAGCCGTAAACCCTGCCGAACCATTTTACTTTAAACCTTACAAGCCCTGGAAGCCCTCCACGAAAAACGAGCAACACCCTTGAAGCCCCTTCAAACTGAAACCTGTCCAGACCCCTGGTAGGAACCCTCTGAACCCCGCCGAAGATGCCCTGAGAAAGCCCACAAGCCACAAACTTTATACCCTGAGCTCTGTCTCTACGCTAAACCTCTGAAGCCTAAACCCCCGAAGCCCTAAACCCGAAACCCCTTGACCCTGCCTTGAGGAAGACCATCGCCACAAGCTCGGCCACCTCCTGTGGCAGTGCTGCCACGTGGGCTGGGCCGGAGCCTCGCAAGGCGGGTCGTTAAAGAGGGCGGAGAGATAAGATGGGCTCGGGCTCCTCTCTCATGGGTTTGCTCATGAGAGAGAGAGAGAGAGAGAGAGAGAGAGAGAGAGAGAGAGAGAGAGAGAGAGAGCGAGAAAGAGAGAGAGAGAGAGAGACAAAGAGTGTGTGTATGTGTGTCTGTGTGTGAGGTGTTCGTGTGTGTGTACATATGTACACACACACGAACACGAACCCACACGCCAAAGGTGAGGGGGGGGGTTTGGCCTGGAAGGGCTTCAAGCGTCGGAAATGGCCCGGGCACATTAGGGTTAAGGCGTCTTATCCAAGCTTCTTCACAGTTTTATAACGTTCGAAGCTTGAGGGACTTACCTTCTCGGGGTTTGGTGCACCTCGGGCTTTCTGCCGTGCTGAATTGATTACAATAGGACTTCGGGCTATATGATACACAAGAAGTAAATGAGGAACTTTCAAAGGGAAAATACTATTCTTCATGGTTCCTCCCACTTGATGGGAACTTCCGAAACTTGTGGGTACTTTATTTGGGGGCCTTATAATAAGCATCCTACTACTTACCCAAACCCCCGGGAGAATCTAGAAAGTAGATCCCCTGATTTGGGGCCCTGTACTACTAAGGGTACTTTATAGGAACCCCCATGAAGGGATCTACTTTTTGGATCCTCCCGGGGGGTCTGGGTAGGGTATTACAGTAATTGGGACTTGCAGCCTCGGACCACCATAGACTCACGTAAAACTCGCCAACCATTCTTTAAAGCCTCATCGACTAAACTCTCCGATCCCTAAACCCGAAATCCCAAACCCCCACTGCTCTTTGCTGTAACTTTCACTACTCCTTCTCCAGTCAGTGCCCACTCTTACTCGGACATCGACGACGACATGTACATGACTGCCAGGCATGCCTGGAAAGTTCATGCATCCGGCACTGGACGAGCGGACGCTTGTGGCCTTGCCGGAGCAGTGGCTGCAAGGGATCGCCGCTCTGCCAGGCTTGGGTCTAAGATGGTTTTGGGGTTTAGGGTTTACCTGTAGCCGAAACGACCTACCTTTTTAGGGCTCCTTATTATGGTTTCTATATATAGTTCCTTCAAAAGGTAGGTCTTTTCGGCTACAGGTAGGGTTTAGGGTTCATAAATGAAACATTTTTGTTTCTGTATGTTCTAAACGTCAGGTCTGAATAGCACAGATGCTGTTCTATGCTTTTCCAGGGCTTATGCCAAGGAGGTATTGCTATGCGCGTCTTGGCATCTTGTGTTGGGAGATGCGACGATTTCGAGTAGGGTTGCTCACAGTGCACAATGAGCGCAGATTACAATGTGCATGCAGGACATAGTTCAGCTCGTTCTTCACACGTGGGAGAAGACGAGTTTAGCTGAGTTGCACAATGTCAAAAATTATGTGTACTATATGATTAGTAAATAAGATCCTCTTAAACCCCAAAAGGGGAAATATAAAATGTCCCAAAGCCCTACCTAGTATGTATACATATACACATGGTTGCGAGGTTCACAACTACACAGCAGTCCATGGTAATCACCTGTGGGTTGTACTTGCGGTTTACGATGACCATCTGGGATTTGTTACTCATTGTATCTCACTCTGTGTCTATCTACCTATCTATTTATATATGTACCTATATACCGATCCATCGATCCATCTATCCAACTATATGCACATCGAATCAGACATGCAAATACATGTGTGAAAATACGCATGTGGACATGTTCGTTATGTTTGTGGAGGTACATATACATACATACACATACATACATACATACATACACATACATACATACATACATACATACATATAATCGTATTCCATTGGGCGCCTTATTGCATATGCAGCTTGTCTTTAAAGGGCTTCTATACCGTGCTGCGGTTCCACCTGCGTTTGGAGAAGGCATGGGCCGGGCCAGGCTTGTGTGGATCGGCCCTGTTCACTTCGCTTGGTACACAAGGCCTCCACGGACCTATAGTTAGGGCCCTAGTCCCCTTAAGGACCCACTAATAAGGTCCCCGGAAGCCTGGGGGTACAAGCCTCATGCATACCAGAGTTTGGGGTTTGGGGGGTCTCCCATCCAAAGTGAAGCCTGGCACGTTATCCTGCGTACTCAGTGAGGTCCTTGAAAGTCCCTACAACACTGGAGCGCAGCCCCGAAATTTGAAGGCTCCGGTAGATTCCCCGTGGCTTTCGCACAATGGGGATTTTCAGTCACTGCCCAGGTGAGCATAAACTGGGGCTGCATACAAAAAAGACCCTGACACAAACCGAAAAGCAGGATCCGTGTTAGTCTTCGGCTCCGGGGAATGTTTGCTGCTGGTGCCTCCATGCCAGCCACGCCGTAGTTGTAGCTGCCACGGCAGAGATCTACCACGACCTCACCCAACAACACAACTCCGCTACCCTCACCTTAAACCCACAAACAAAAGTTTAATGCAGCACGCAAAGTTGCAAGAGACAGAAAGATCCTGGACTGTGGGCTCAGGAGGACATGAACTCTAAAGAATAAGCCATAATTAAATGTCTTGGAAGCCACACAGGCTCTGAGTCTACATCGATTCCTCTGGTGTCATATAGTTTTGCATATATGCACTAACAGCAATGCAAACCCAAAGCTCTAACTGTGGGATTTCACAAGAATGCAAACCCAACTCTAACTGCGAGGTTTCACAAGCCTGCGGCGCACCGGAACTGACGCGCAGCGAGCGCACCTGCTGCTTGGGGCTAGAAAAAAAACAGGATGAACTAATCAACCCTAAACCCTGAAACCCTAAACCCTGAAACCCCAAACCCTGAAACCTCAGACCTGCAACCATGCGAATTATGGTTCCCCTCGGGTTCTTCCGGGTGCAAAGTTCTGAGTTGAGAGATTTAGCTGTATCGGTCGGGAGAGAAAAACCCCGAACCCTGAGTCTCAAAGATGTATAGTTAGACAGGCAAATATGCAATGAGACAAGCCTAACTAATGTAGAGGTCTTAATGATCGGAGCACGGTTTTGGGATAGTTTATTCTGTGACCATAATATATATTTCGAAGCTAAGTTTCTGAAACCCCAGGAAGACCCTAAACCCTGAACCCTACATCCTATTCCATAGCCCTAAACCCTACTCCATAACCCCAAGAGTCCACCCACGCCCAGCACAAACACCTCCAGGCTGGCCATGTGGAAGCTCTATACGCTCTAATCTTGGCTGTCTTCTGAACTGCCCCCAAAAAGTTAAACTTTCAGCCTCCTTATTATGGTTCATATAGAAACCCAAAAAGTTAACCTCCAAAGAGCCAACCAGAAGAACGCCAAGTAATCCTGGGGGTTTGGGTTTAGGGCGAAGGATTTAGGGTTCAGGGCTATGAATCTGGAGCTCACATTGAATCTTCCAATCTCCCACACCCTGATCACTGAACCCCATAAACCCTAAACCTTTATCTTCGAACTTGTCAAAGTAATCTCCGGCTTCACGTGTGTTTAAACTCAAGGGCTGTAGGCGCAAGGTCAAGGCTTGCAACTTCCAGAATCTTTTGAGGCTTGTCTGAAAAGTCTTGCCGCATGCGACCAAGAACTGCACACAGATTGTTGTCCCAGACTAGGCAAGAGTGCTCACGAATCCAGCAGAGCATGGCAACATCTTGCGGCATGATCGTCTATCCGCCGTGCATGCACGGCTAGTTTGTTGTTTGCTGCAAATGTGTCGCTGGCGAATTGCTGTTCATGCGGAGACCGGGGCGCATTTCTTCGAGGATATCGCGAACGACTCTCGCAAAAGCGAGCTTTGGGACCAGTGTACCATAGAGGCCTGAATAAATAGGACAGGGTTTTGGTGCCCATCATACTATAAATAAAATTTATAAGAAACCCCCAAAATAGTATTGGCAATTATTTAAGCCGCTTTTTTCGGTGGCGCAGTGGAGCTTTACTAACCTTCGATCCACAACTAATTTTTCTCAACCCTGCGAATCCTATAAAACCCACAGAGAAATCCTCAAACAGGAATTCTAACCCTAGACCCTGCTGTAACCAATACAAACCCAATGAAGAGCCAAACCCTTGAAGGTTTGGGGTTTTGCAAACCTTAAACAGTGAGCGGGAACCCGCCTTGGACTCGACGCCGGTCGTGGAACTGCTGCTCATCACTGCCATGGCTCCACCTCCACCGCGGTGCTGTGGGGTCTGTAGGGTGTTTGGAATTCCTGTCAAGAGCTGCGTGAGGGACGAAGGTCCGTGACAGAAGCGGATTCGACAATGCAACAAGTCCCTGTGCCCCCGACCCTTGCCTCCACCCTTGGGTCTTTGCGGGCATATGAATGGATGCTCGGGTTTTCGTTCTTGCTCTTTAAGAAAGTCACACTTTCCTCCCGCGGCGGGGGTCGCGCCATCATCATCTGAAACTCGCATAAGACGGCCCGCGAAAAAGACTTGAGGGGTGTAATGGCAGCAGTCGGTTGTGACAGCAGTTGCGGTGTCGTAGCCATGTGACATGGGATGCCTGACACCGTGGTCGTTACCAGAATCGCTTTGGCGAACTTTAAACATCTTGATAGTATTCCTTCAGGCGACGCATGGACCTGCAGTTGCCCAGCCCTTGAGACCACCTCCTTCGAAGTCATGGCCGCAAGCATCGAAGCACTTGGAGCAGCGTGTTTCCTTGGTTGGGACATCGGAAAACTTCGGGTGCTCTGGGGTGGTTCAGTTCAGGGTTTGGGGCAAACGCTCGGATTTGGCCAGGCTTCCTAGAGCCGATAGGGATGTCCACGGCAACGACAACGACTTCGACGACTGCGCGACAAGGATGGCAACGGCAATGCTAATGGCGACGACCACGACGACGACAGGCATGAATGATGCTGCTGGTGCTGGTGACTGGTGATGTTGATGATGATGACGATGAAGATGGTGATGATGATGAAGATCATGACAAGGATGGTAGCGACATCTTCCGACATTGGCAGTAAGACTCTCAAGCATGGACAAAACATGGTAGTTGAACTTGAACGTTCCAAGCTGGTAGCCGTAGCGGTATCAGCAGCAGCAGGCGGCAACAGCAGGCGGCAGCAGCAGGCAGCAGAATTGGCGGAACCACACAGCAAGGGTACCCTAAACTCAAAACCGTCAACTGGCGCTAGGTGTCGTTGCTGGAGCCATCCACAGTGCGGTTTTGACCCATGCAGTCTGCCTCTGAGAACAAAGTCACCTGCAGGGCGGATGCCTAAGTTCTAATCTTGGGAGTTTGGGGTTGGGAGCTTGCAGCTTAAGGCCTTAAGGGTTTGTTCGTATTCTGCCGTATGCAGACACTACGTTCCTCAAGATCCGAGTGCCTAATCCAGGCAGGGCTGCATACAAGCTGACCCCCAGTACACTTCAGGCTCAGTACTCCGATCGTCAACCCTGATGCCCTAGGAGACCGCGGAATTTTCCGCGTACTTCTGCGACCATCTCTCCCCTGAAGCGGTATACCCTTAAACCCTAAACCCTAAATCCTAAACCCTATAAACCCTAACCCTAGTGCAGTATACCCCTAAACCCCGTCCTCCAAGAGCCGGAAAATTACAGCCTCCCTCCGCACCTCAAAGGGCTTCACGAGTGCGAAGTTGCCGACCAGTGCTTCACCTGGCGCTTTGGGGCCTATAGGGTTCACGGATTTTGAAAGGATTGTAAAGGAGCCTTACTTTAAGCTGTAAAGATTCCTGCATGACGAAGGTGGTAAGCCTAGTTTGGGACGGGATTTTGATAGAAGCCTTGCTACAAGGACCCCTCGCTTTAAGACCCCCCCCCCAACCTTGCTGGTTGAAGACTGCCATCTCCCCTTGAGATAGCACGCCATCCTCCCGGTGGGCTTCGAGCTTTAGAGGGCATTGTAGGGCTTGATAGGGATAGTAATAGTAGTTAAAACGGGCTTCTGGGGCTTTTGGGAAATAGGTTTTGCGGTTTCGGATAGCTGGTAATGTCGCACTGCGGCAGTGGTGCTGAAAAGATGTGTCCAGCCCTCAGTGCTCTGCGAAGTGCATCAGCTGGTTCAACCACCTCAACCCCATGGCCCTGTAGGCCCTCATCGGGCTTTGGTGGGGGCCTTCCGGCAGGATTTTCAAGGGTCGGGAGCGCTGTTGTGGAGGCGGACTTTCGGTCAAGGTTTCCATGGCTTCTCTGGCCGTGGCCCCACCCGAAAAGAGTCAACTCTAAGCTGGAGCCCTGAAGCCCTAAGCCCTGAACCCAAACTGAAGCCCCACCCTGAACCCTAAACCCCTAAACACCGAATTCGCAGTCCTGGTCGGCATCGGCGGAATCAAACACTGAGTCCAATCTGCTTCCCACTCCAATCCTGAGCAAATCTTCTGAAGGCTCGGAAAACTGTTCTGCGGTTTTGGATCAGCCGATCTACGGGGAGCTTCTATGACTTCGGGCTTCCGGATTGAGATTTTCGTGCTCATACATGTCGGGAAAGCGGCAAAAAAAAAACATCCCCCAACTTCAAACCATAAGCTGCACACATTCAAACCCGAAGCCTTCAAACCATGCAGACCTCAAAAGTCAGCAGTGCAAACCAAGTGTCCCCAAGCTTGCTTTTGTGCCTTGCGCCGCACCCGGCCGCCAAAGCGCCAAGAGAAGCAGATGCCTTAGGCACCTGATTGCCATGGCTGTAGCTAAAAGCTGCTGTGCAAGTCGAAGCACCTGGCGACGCACAGGCCCTGTAATTTATGCTTGCGCTGCACAGAATTACAGTATGAATCTCGGACTGCAAAGCAGCAAGACTACCAACTACTACTCACTTTATACAATGAGCATGGTGTCGGCCCTCAATGACCTGCATAATTATCTGCTCAACAGCTGCAGCACGAAGGCAATACCACAATCATCCTTGGTCATAACCCTGATGTAAAACGGAATATACCATGATTCCCATATAGTAGCCCTCAAGAGTAACCCGTTTAAAGGAACCCTATCCTGATGTAAAACCTCCTCGGTCTCTTTTGTACACGCCCGGCATTGTCTCTGGAGCTGCCTCTGTACCTGAAACCTTGGGTACGGCCCCCACTCAGTAATAGTTGAATAATATTCACAATATAGATATATTAGGACCTTAATAATAGCCCTATTATAAACTCTTACTGCAAGGGTGCAGTACCTAGCTGAAACCTAACACAGCGAAAGGACAATCGTCTCACCAAAAAGCACAACAGAAAGTGGGTTCAAGCATACCTGGACCCCACAAGTATGTAGAATAATAACCCTTATAGGGTTTTGGGCCATTATTTAACCTACTTTGGGGGGATTCAAGCTTATGGGTTCTTGGTGATAGCTTCTGTGACAAATCAGCTGGCTGCGCCTCGAATAACAGCACGCACATCTGCGAACAACAACTAATTAGCCACTGATGGTCTCGTGATAGGCTCTCCGCTCTGAATCATTCATATCTTTTCTTGGGGCGGTTTGTAAACTTGATGATCAAGTAAATCATGTGCCTTTGGTGATTGTCTGCTACCTCGGGAACACTTCTTGGAATCAGCTGGGTGTTTCTGCAACATCTGAGCTAGGGGTCCTTGAAGAAAGGATCCTGCTGCTCAGGTCTGACGAAAGGCCTCTTTAGCCGATAAGTCTCTCGCAGTCCCAGCAAGCATGGAATTTCGTAGTAAGTCTTAGCCTTAGACGGTCAGGTTTCTCGTAGTGGTACGCACACCACATACGACAGTGGCTTCAACTCCCAACCTTCAACCTTAAACCCCTGAACCCTCACGCCAAAACCCTACAACCTCGACATCCTAACCGGGAAGCCCGAACTCAATTCCTGGCAGGATCAAGTTTCCGAAACCCTGAAAATCCCGTAGCCTGCACTCGATCTGTGAGATTAGAGCATTGACCTCGAGCCCCAGTGTTAAAGCCACTCCGGTATAGGGCTTACCTGGACCCCAAAAGTATGTAGAAGAATAGCCTTTTATAGGTATTGGGCCATGATTTTACCTACTCTTGGGGGGGGGGCTTAGGCACTAAACCCTAAACCCTAAACCCCTAAACCCTAAACCCTAACCCTAAACCCTAAACCCTAAACCGGGGTATCATGCCAGGGCAAACTCCCACACCTTGGAAGATCCATGCAACCGTCATCCTGGAAACTCTATAGGACCGGCATAATCACGCCCCATGGCGGTCTTTGGGAATCATGTCTTCATGGTGCAATATAGATGTGGGCAGTATGACTGATCCACGGTCTGCTGTCTAGACCTTTCATTACGGCTCACTTCGCCAGAAAGCCCACAACCCCACAGCCTGAGCCTAAAACCGAGCAGCGGTCCTTATCCAACTTCAAGAACAGGTTGCGGAGCTTCTCTGTTTGGATCTGACAAGATGCAGCGCGTTCTTGGGATTGGGTTCTCCACACAAGTACAAGGAAGGGCACCTTTCCCTAACCTGGGCCGAAAAATCGCTAATACCAGCTCCTCTACACCCAGCCTCAGTCAGTCCCTCAACACTAAACCCTAAACCTAAAACTCTTCAACACAGCACAGTGGCGGCCAGGGCTAGGGCCTCCCGCGACTTCTGGCGCACGAACCTGGCAGGGACGGAAAACGTATTGGTTTTGAGGGGGATCGTGTCTCGCTCTCTCTCTCTCTCTCTCTCTCTCTCTCTCTCTCTCTCTCTCTCTCTCTCTCTCTCTCTCTCTCTCTCTCTCTCTCTCTCTCTCTCTCTCTCTCTAATATATATATATATATATATATATATATATATATACGTTCGTATATAGATAATATATATATATATATATATATGTATATATATATATATATGAGCAAATGCAGGGATCGTCAGGACGGGTAGATGTGACAAGCAATCCCTCACACCGGTCGACTGATTGTTAAGTTCATACTAGGATCCCAGACTTGCGTCGAATTACAAGAAACTTCATGTTGGAACTAAAGGCCTGCTTGAGCCGTATGAAGCTTTAGCGAAAAGAACAAAGTCGCGCAAACCATCGAGAGAAACGTCGGTACAGAAGTGGCTCCACAGGTAAGCAAACCCTATGCGAGCGAACCCTATAAACCGCACCGTGCTAATACCTGTCGTGTGACCTGCATTGAACCTTGAACCCAAACCAGAAACCCAAATGACTCCTGTACCTGCACAATGAACCCCTAACCCCCAGAACCTGAAGCCTCTGTAACAGACTGTTTAATGAAAACCCCCCAAAATCAGAATCCTGGCCGGCCCGGGCGCTTCATCATGAGTCATAATACGTACCCCTACAGTATGTAATTACACGACGTAACAAAAACAACGAAAGTCCTATGGCAATTGATAAAGCCCTTGTATTCGACCCGGCTGCTTCTCAGAAGCGGAAGACCAGAAACCCTCTACCCTGCAAAGCGCCCCTCATAAAAGATTTACATAATTAACCCTCAATGAACTAAAGGCCCCAAACCCTGAAAACCCTAAACACTGAAAGCTCTAAGCCGCAGCCTCTATAAGCTCTAGAAACCCCCCCTCCCCCCCGGATGCTTCATGAGGTAAAGGAAGTCGAAGAAGTCGACCTCCTCCTCGGAGAGGCCTGGATTTTGCCAGTTTCGTTTTGCTTTTTTGGGTTTAGGGCTTCGGGTTTAGGGTTTAGGGGGGTGTTAGGGTCTGGGGTGTTGCCAGATCTTTCTCCCCGCTTTTGCATAAGGGTTCCTTTGAGGCTAGGAACCTGATGGGGGAACCTTGGGCCTGTATCTAGGGTTCCTTTAACGGGTTGCTACAGGTCAATAAGGCTTGCCATAAGGGACCTCCAAGGATACTATAGTAATGTAGGAACCTGATCAAGACACCTTGGGACTTGATGAGATCTATGAGGGTTCCTTATACGAATCCTATAATATATTGGGGGTTATAGGGCCAGGGTTTCTTAATCAGGTTCCTAGCTTAGTATTACAACTGCACACAGATAAAGATTTGTCTACGTCTTCAGGGCTTGAGGTTTAGGCTTGTGGGTGTAGGGCTTTAGCGTTTACGTGTTTTTATCTCAAGGATTGGGGCGTTAGGGCTTGCTTGTGGTCTTAAGTGTTTGTGTTCGGGTGCTTTCAGGTATGGTGAGGGTTCCGTGGCTTTCTTTGTAGGTGTTCTACTGCTTCATGCGGTTGCCCCAAGAACGTGGTCTCGCTGGTTCTACTTCGAAGAGCTTGACTGCTGCAGGCTTCCTTGGCTCCCGCTGGCAAAATCTCAAACTATTTATACGGAAACAGGGGCTCAGACGCGATTAAACATGTGCTTGACTTTGGATGTCTAGGCACACCTGCAGCCTACATAAACCTTGAACAGCCTTCGTGGATAAGGCCCTCAGCCGTGTAAGGCATACACCCTGTATACAAAATTCAGACTATTCAATCCTCACTGACCAATGACTAATGAAACTCCTTTGCCTCAGTTCCGAAAGTAGTCAGGTAGGAGTTTCAGATGTTCAAGCAGTTTCTGGGGTTTGGGGCATGGAGTTTAGAAAGCGTTTGTGTCATATTGGCTAGTGACTAGTGAACCGTGTCTTTCAATGATGTTGCAACTTAAGCCTTTGCAAAACGCTGCAGCACCATGTGGTTTGGATTGCTTCGTGGGAAGACACTGCAATCTCTCTCGTACACAAAACCCCATGAAATCCGCAAGCACTTATCAGAACAGCCATACAAGCCAAAAGCAAGAGAAAGCTTGAAAAGGATCAGCTTCGAACCCTAAGCCCTAAGCCCTACTAAAGCCCAAAACCCTAAACCCTTAAAGCCTTAAACACCGAACCGCCCCTGCTCGGCCCGGGCATCCGACTTACGATCTCGTACTGCCGAAAGGATCTTCGAATTCGAGGCCTCCGGCAATCTCCCAGAGATCCCAATACCCCTTAATCGAGGAATATTCCTTAAACCATAAATTGATGGCCTCTAGAACCTAAGGTCTAATCCTTAATTCAGGGGTATTGGGTTCTCTGGGTTCGGGTTTGGCTTCACTGATTGCAAGGCGACTGTGACTATGGCCTCATTTAATTGAACCCGGAGCGCGTCCCTGCTTGGACGCGCTTTCCTCGGAATGCTACAACCAGGAGAGGGGTGTTATCAATCAGCGGTTTGCATTAGGGTATTGAAGTTTATGGCTATGACATGATCTTGTAAGGACGTCTTACAGTATCTTGTGAAGCGCTTGAGGCCTGCATGTCCGCAGAGTTCTGGAGTAGAAAGGACACTCTGCTAGATTGTAGTGTCGCTGCCAGAAGTCCCGAGGCTCCTGTGCTACGGTATTGGTGTTCTTCCAAAACAACCCGATGAGGATCCCTGATTGTTTATGAAAGCAATTTTTATAGGATTTCTGATTTTTGGCCCGGGGCTGCTATGGTTTATGGGAGTGAGGAATTGGAGGTTATAGGATTTGGCATTGAGGGCTCCCTGACAGTAAGTCATGTCATACAGTTTTCATCGGGCTAACTTACACCGGGGCCTCAATCAGTGAAGATCTGAACAATACAACCGTGTCTGACCCTTAGAGAAACCCCTCACAACCCCCTTCACAACCCCCAAACCCCTACCCCCAAACACCTTACAAAATCTACCCTAAGCACCCCCCAAAACAGATCCAAGCTCTATAAAACATCATACCTGTAGGACCCCCCTGCAAAGCCTATACGACGTAACATGGGGGCCACAATTCTCAGAGTAGGGTTTGGGTTTAGGGTTCAGGGGGCCTCAATAATCGGGCTGGTGTATTTTAGGGTTTAGGGTTTTGGGGTTAGGGTTTAGGGTTTAGGGGGCCTTAATAATCGAGCTAATCTATTCTAGTAGAGGTCTGCTCGTAATGAGCACCCCCAGGTATTGTATTTACGCTTCTTCGGTCCCTATTAGTACACCCAAGACGGCCTGGCTCGCTTCTGCACCTTCCGCCAGCCGGCCTAGTTCGACGAGGGATCGGTTTAGGGTTTTGGGGTTTTGGGTTCAGGGCTTTTGGCGGTTAGGGTTCTTGGGTTTAAGATGGATGGTTGAGGATTTAGGGTTTAGCGTTCTGGGGTTTCGGGTTTTGGGTGGTTTAGGGTTTATTTAGGTGGATCTAGAGGTCTCTGAAAAACAACTGAATATTATTATGATTGATAGCAGTCCCCCATATAAGGTACCCCTCATTTTTGGAAACTCCCACATGGAACCCGCTGCACCCCTCAAAAGTAGGAACAACATCCCCAAATGCCTAGACAGACATCATCGCTTTCCACTGCTTCGGACCGAGGGCACGCCTGGAGTCCCGAAATCCCCAACCCAAGCTGAACCTGAGATTTTAGGACGCTTTAGGAACCTAAACCCTTAACGGCACCTCCTGATTTTGCAAAACCTAACTCCCGGGGGGTTCCCCCCAGCAAGCCCTCAGCTCATAAACCCCAATGTAACTCCTAAACCCTGCAAAACCCGAGAGCCCTGAACCCATTCACAGCCTCCTCCCCTGTGAAGGGACGCTGTTAAATCCTCAAAAATCAAAATCCCTGCAGGGACCCTTAAACCCTCCCAACCCCTAAACCTTGAACCTGAAAGGAACACTTAGAATCCCCAAGCCCCAAACCTTAAACCTTCAACCCTAAACCCTTGAAAGGACCTCTGAATAGAACCCTTAAGCCCATACCCCTAAAAACCATGCCGGGGAGCCTCAAGGGGATCTTTAAAGACTGCAGGGAGCCTTAAAAGGGACCCTTGGACGGAACCCTTCGCCGGGGCCGCAGCTCCGAGAGCGGCGGTCTCAGTTTTGGCGAACTGCACGTGGGGCTCCGGCCTGGTCTGAAGGGGTCAGGGTTTAGGGTTTAGGGATTTAGGGGTTTAGGGGTTTAGGGGTTTAGGGATTTAGGGGTTTAGGGATTTAGGGGTTTAGGGATTTAGGGGTTTAGGGATTTAGGGGTTAAGGGATTTAAGGGTTTAGGGATTTAGGGGTTTAGGGATTTAGGGGTTTGGCTGAGGCTTTCTTCGAAGGTACCACAGGGGATTTAATAGCTGGAACAGGGCTCCTTTAAAGGGTATTATGAGGGTTCCTTGAAGGTTTCTATAAGTCAGGGATCTATACAGAGGCCTTAATGATTCGAACGGGGTTCCGCTAAAGGGTACTATAAGGGTCCCTCCAAGGGTTCTATAAGGGATCTGTATAGGGGGCTGAATAATTTCAACAGGGAACTGGGCTCGTTTATGGTATAGTTATAATAAGGAACCCTACGGAACGGTGTTGAGGAGCATTAGGACTCCATGACTATGGGCCATGGGGGTTAGGGTTTCGGGCTTTAAGGGTTTGGGTTTAGCTGAGGAGTCCAAGAGTAGTAGCTGTGGGATGTTGCATTGATAAGTTTAAGGTTACAAGTTTAAGGAGTACTCTATCGGTGCCCTTTACCGTTGGACTGTTTTACAGTAGGGTTTAGGGCTCCTCCCAAGCCCTCAAGACTTTTGTATAGGCGCTTAAAGGGGTTTAGGGTTCCTTTACGGCATCAAGGGGTCCTTTGGGATGTCTCCTGCTTACGGGTGCAATAGGGCTTAAGATTCAAAACTTGGGAGTGTTGGATTTTTTGGGGTGGCGAAGGGCTTGAGGCACAAAACACAGTTGGATTGATGCTATGTCAAGACCGAAAAGAAGACGTAAACACAACCAGGAAGGTACTGTAATGTGGAGGCCTTAGTATTCGAATAGAGATTTGGCATAATGTGTTGTAGTACGATCATATTATTGCTCTGGCCCCATGGCGTACTCCGTGCTGAGGGGATTAATGTGTGTATGTACGGCAGCATTTACGCACGTACATACATCTATAACATGTACGTGTATATACGTGGAGAGAGAGAGGGAGAGAGAGAGCGACAAAGAGAGAGAGAGAGAGAGAGACAAAGAGAGAGGGAGAGAGAGCGAGAGAGGAGAGATATTAAAAAAACAACGGAGTTTCTACTCTTGTATAAAAAAGGATACCTGTAATCGACAGCCGGAACTACCCAGAAGAGATTGCAACCACACTATGAAGTTAACCCGAAAAGAATAGGTTATTCACTACAGTAGCTCCACTGCTCCTTAGTCACTGAGGTCCCGGGCATGTGCTGAACACGCTTGGCCTGGTTCGCCAAGTGCCGGCCCTCGCGTATGAGGCTCGGCCTGGGATTCGGGTTGACTTGCTTCCTCTATGTGCAAGGAAATCAAGTCTAACCTGTCTGAGTATAGCTACCTCAGCATAAAAGCCCCGAGATCTGATGGTGAGGCTGAGGAATCAGTGGAGGACTGTGGGTTAGGATTCGGGTTAAGGTACCTTACGAACCGTATCTACTCAAAACGGGGAGTATAATGGAGAGTATCTCTTAGGAGCTGCCCCCACCCTGTAATAGTGACCATAAGGATTATATTGGGGATGATTCGGGCCCTATTATATTCCTATTATACCACTATTACAGGGTGGGGGCCCCTTCTACCGTAAAGTATCCCTGCTTGCTCTTGGAGTTCTGAATTCATGTTTGGGCTCCGCCGACTGCTCCAGGGCATAGGCTCGCCTTTTAGGCTGTGTCTGCCGGCTTTTTGGTTCTACGGATTCAATATGCTCGGGGTTTTCCGAAGGTAAACCCTAAACCCTAAACCTTAAACCCTAAACCGTGTTTACGAAAGTAAAGGCTAGGGGCCAGGGTCGATCTAAGTCATCCGCATCCTGCAGTATTGCTGGTTTATCATGTATTCGCGATGCTCTTTTTCAGCTCCGCTCGCACTACGTTCCCATCTGTGCTGAGGCTCCAGCAGGCATTTCTGCAACAACATACTAAAAGCTTTGCAGGGCAATCTCTGCGATCGTACCCAAACCGTGCCAGCTCTCTGAAACCGCACAAGCATCTATATATGATATCCAGTTGGAGTCTTTGCATCCCCGCATGATATTTCCCCAGGCAACATTCTAAAGTGCCGTAGATTCAACCCCGAGAATATCGTACTCTAATCATTCAGGCCTATGCACGTAGCCTCATGTGAGTTTCCGAAAATAGGGGACCGTAATATAGTATTTTAAAATAGTAGGATCCTTATTATAAGGACCCCAAAATAATGTACCGCTTATTTTCGGAATCTCCCACATTAAGCTCTCAGGAGCCTCGGCAGCTAGAATTCTTGAATCGATTGAGACTTGGCTCATTGTCACAGTGACTCTGCCAAGCGGTGAACTTTTGAATCCATTCAAGAGCAGCTCATCCCTCTAACTCCCCCGTGCGACCCCGATTGATTATCCTGAGTCTGTGGAACTTCACCGCGTATAGCGAACTTGAAACAAAAGGACGCTTAAACCGCAAACTCCTAGTAAACAAATCCTTTCTTCCAGTAAACCGTCCGTGACCCGTGCTGACGCAGGAGCAAAGCAGAATGAGGCTGATTTCGGGTTGATGGAGGGGGTGTAGGGTTTAGGCATTTCAATGCTGATGGGGTTTAGGGTTTGGACATTGGGCTACGGAATGAGGTTTCAAACGATGTCGGCTCTGATGACTAGGATATCGGGATCTTTTCAAACACACACACACACACACACACCCACGCACGCACGCACGCACGCACGCACGCACGCACGCACGCACGCACGCACGCACGCACGCACGCACGCACGCACGCACGCACGCACCCCCCCCCACACACACACACACACACACACACACACACACACACACACACACACACACACACACACACACACACACACACACACACACACACACACACACACACACACACACACACACACACACACACACACACACACACACACACACACACACAAGTTATTGAAACATACACCCGTGTCGGGATATTCCCTTAGAGCTTCTGCGTCAGTGCCAATTCAATCTCGCATGCCACACGAGGCAATATTTGGACCTAAACATTCATTAGGATCCTCATCATGCCGTTACACAAGGTCCGCCTTTCGGAATCACTGGAAAACTCGTCCCAAGTCTACCACTGTAAGTTGCCACATATCCCCTTAATAAATCGGGTACCCTTGATCCTGCTACGCAGCGTTGCTAAGCAAGCCCCATACTACAGGCATATAACAGGGAAGCGCCGCCCGACCTAGTCTATCTCAAGGTCGATCACCAACGGCAGGTGATCACTGGCATCCGTGTGAAACACGTCGAAGTGGGATATCCGGATCCTGGTGGCAGGCTGGTAGGCTCCGGGATTTTGTGGGGTCCTGAAGGTATAAATATGTTAACCCTGACTTTGCAAGAACGAAAGAAGGCACTGTATATCTAGAGAGTAGATCCGAATGTGAACCAAGGCAGGCATTGATTAGTACTTAGAGGTGCAAGCCAAAGGGATCGCAGGCTCCATTGTTGCTGCATGTGGCGGTGTCAAGGTCTTGTGAGATGCACCATAGCTACCGATGTTATCCTGGCGAAACTACAGTGCTGGTGTTTGGCTCTTGGTAAGGATGTTCAGAATGTGTAGAACACTTGATATATCCATTCGGCTTGAACTAGGCTCCGAACCAAGAGTCGAGTAAACCCTATGCCCTCATTGCTATACCCTCTAGCCTGGCTCTTCCTGTTCCTGTGCTCCAACTCCCTGCGCCGCATACTGTGGGAGTCACTGTTTCGGGAAGTGGAGCCCGATAACTAAACCAGAAATAACCAAGCCCTGTCCCTAAACCCTAAACCAGAATTAACCAAGCTCTGAAACAAAACACAGTCGGTCCTTCAGACCACACGTCTCTCACCCACAAGCCTCCAAGACCTACAACTCTTACACCCAAACTGACTATGAACCCGAACGATAAACCCCAAACCCTGAAAAACAAAATCTTATGCCCAAACCTGTAACCCTGCCACCGCTTGCATGCGAACGCATGGCTGAGGCAGGAGCTTCGCATCACCACGCCTCAGCACAGCATCGTCTACGGCTCGACAGGGGTTTCGGCTTTAGTGTTGCTATATGGGGTTCTGTGAAAGGGGTTTCCGGCTTTGATGGATCCCTGAGGGTTTCAGCTGACCGAGCTTCAAAGGGTTTCTTCCGGCACAGGCTACATCACACCCCTTATACACGACCCCTCGCAGAAGCCAACCCTTTTTGGGATAATTGAGCAGGGTCTCGGTGAGGTTTTTGGATTTGAATGCAGACCCCTGTTTCTTGGCCCTCCTCCCCTCGGAAGACTCAAAACGGAGGGGCATTATGACGCACACAGGTCTACATCTATGTCCATGTCTGTATCTGTAGATATGTATGTATATAATATAATATATATATATACATATATAGAATCTGTATCTATATCTGTATGTATACAGATAGGTAGGTCGATGGATAGGTAGATAGACAGATAAGAGATAGATAGCTCAATATATGAATATGCAAAAACTACATGCAGGAATGATCAACGCGTGAGTGTGTGGATATTTATACATACAGCAATCAACCTGTATGTACGTGTGTCCGTATATATATATATACACACATGTGTATGTATGTATGTATGTATGTATGTAGGTATGTATGTATGTATGTGTGTATGTATGTATGTATGTATGGGTGTAAGCGTGTATGTGTGTCTGTCTGTCTGTCTTTCTGTCTCTGCCTGTACGTCTGTCTGTGCCTGTATGTCTGTCTGTATGTATGAATAATATATAATTACATGAATCGATAGGTGTACATATATATATATATATGGATATGGACTGCAGGGATGGACTAGCAACCACACGCTATTCCGGCCCTGTGTCTTTTTTGCTTTGAAGAACCGTTCGGGTGTAAGCCTGTTTGAGACCATGGGTGACCCAGGACGCGCTAGGAGCATCTGATTTGGCTCTGCTGGCAGATTTTGGGGCTTCTCGCCATGAGTAGGGCGCGCAAAAAGCACAAACACCCTTCAAAGCTTCTACAAAGAGCCTATAACTCCCTTTACCACACCCTTGTTAAGGTACAGCCATGATAGAGACCGCCAAAAAGTCCCCAACATGCTACAGTAAACCCTAAGCAGCTGAGAAGGAGGCAGGAGGCAGTGGTCAATGAGCTGCCCGCTCCAATGACCTCCAGGGTCTTGTGGGATTTGATTTGGCTTCTTTTTGGATCTGCATGTGCCCTTGCCCGGACACACCGAGATTCTTTAGCCCCGAAACGAGACTGCTGGCAGGGCACTGTAGAGGGGCGCGCATGGCACCGGCAAGTGCTGCCAAGCATGCCTTCCAGGTCACATGAGAACCTGACTGAATCTTACACCCTACATCTAGTCTAACAAAATCACCATCACTCGCAGCAGTACCACCGCCATCACCACACCATCACCAGTTTTGTCGCAGTCAAAGTCATCATCAACATCGCCGTCATCATCACCGCCATCATCATCATCATCATCATCAACATCAACATCATCAGCGCCATCATCATCATCATCAGCAGCATCATCATCATCATCGTCATTCTCGCCATCATCATGTGAACATGATGACGGTGATATTCGTAATGATGGAGAGGATGATGCGGATTAAGGTAATCGTTGTTTGGGGGGAGGGCGTCGTGGCAGTGGTGATAAGTAGTTATGCAGACGGTGGGAAAGAGGCGGACGATGCTGCGCGGGTGAGGAAACAAAATGACATCTTGTCAGGATGAGAACGAAGGGGATGACCCTGATGGTGACGACTACGAAGATGATGGTGATGATGGTGCTGCCAGGGATGACCACAACGAACGACGACGACGATGCCGACGCCGACACTGGGTGATTGTGCTCCCAGATCTTGACGACTGCCGAGGATGAGGTCTAGCCCCGGAAGCCATCATCCACAGCCTGTAGCCCAGCTTCTGCGCGAAACCGAGCGCTGTCATCTCCTTTCTGAGGTATGCTGGAGACCCAGCAGTTGGGGGCTTGCGGTTCTTGAATGCCGATTCAAGTTGTTATGGCATCAGATTATTCCATGTGCTGCGATGCGTGCGCAAGTGCACGGGCTCCCTCTCTCACTCTCTATCTCTCCCTCTTTCTCGCTTGTCTCTCGCGACACATGCAGCATCTCGGCATACATACACACATGATTAGGGTAGGTGCAGTGTGCTTCTATAACTCTATGATGTATGTGTGCAGTACCCAGTGAGCACAAATAAGACGAACGGAGAATGTCAGGACTCGGCGGCTGTGTGTGTGCGTGCCTTGATGCATATGCATATATATATATATATATATATATATATATATACATATATTTTATAGGGACCTGAGTAATTGGAATAGGGTCACTGAGTTTATTCTCTCTTTCCACTGAGCCCTGAGGAATAGCGAAGGGAGTTTCAGGAGCTTGCTTGGAGGACCCGCACGGGTCTTCGTAGGCGGGTCTATTGCCCCAAACCCTAAACTTTTAACACAGAAGCCTCAAACCCCCCTAATTCAAGACTTCTCCCTATTAATCCCGTACTTGGCGGCTCACCTGGGCTTTCGGGAGATACAGCAACTACATGTATAGGTGCTTGCGTGAACATTCAGCTGCTAAGAACCCTTGAACCTTCCGCGACTCCCTTCATCTCTCTGCCTGCAGTGTCCCCAGCTCACTAGATTAAGCAATGCAGGCCCTAGTTTAGCGTTTAGGGTTTGAGGATTCTAAAGCCAAAAGCCTGGAACTCGAAACCTCCTCAAGGCCTGCAGAGCCCCTTTCAACCAGCTTCTACTCCCCTTGACCAAGGAGAGGTAAGCAAAACAGCTTTGTTCGAAGATCCCTAGAATAGAGTCTGCAAACCCCCAAACGAAACAAACGCCACAGACACACCCTAGAGTCGCGCAGCTTAAGACTTTTTAGACCCCCCCTGCATTTCCTCCGGAATCCGTGGCGACTCGCGCGGAAGAAAATGACGAAGTGCCTTTGCGGAATCATCACTGGAGGGTTGTCATTCGATCCATAGAGTGTGGGGCTTAGGTTCAAGGCTTTGGGGGTGTAAGGTTGACAGATTTGTTGTTTATGGTTGAGGGGTTCGGTGTTCATGGTGTTCACAGCATATGGCATATGATTGCAGCCCATACAACAGCCCCCTTTCTCAACTTTTGGCTGGGGAAAAAGTTGAACCCTAAACCATCTGGAACCCTAAAATTACTAAAGACCGAACATCGGGAGATTCACAAGCTGCTCAGCGCATTCCTGAAGCCCAAACGGAAGGGGATTCGGGTTTGAAGGTTTCGGGCTTCTGAAATCTCTTGTGTGTAGGGTTTCAAGACTTCGGATATGAGGTACAGAGCTCAAAACCCTCAACCCTAGATTCCCTGGACCTAACCCCTGTAAAAGCTAGATCCCAAGGACCCTCAACAGGACCCCCTACAGTGAACCCCGGAAGTCTTCAGGTTCAAGGACCATCACCTCCCACCGGCGCCTTCGGATCACGTTGCACACTCAGTCGATCGATGAGCCGAAGTGCCTGGAGACAGCAAGACTAGGGCCCAGGGTTCAGGGATTGAAATTTTGAGGTTTTACGGCTTCAGGGTTGTAGGCTTTAGGGCGGTCTAGGGGGTATGCTTAAAAGACCCTGGAAGATCCTTTAGACTACTGACCACCCAAACCTCTGAAAAGCCTTTGTGAAACCCTATAAAATACTTGCAGTTCCGTTTCCTGAGGTTCCTGGATACTTTACTACTTCAGCATAAACGATCCGAGGCCTTTAAGGCGGTGAAACGAAAAATGACTTACATTTTCCCCACAGCCTCGATCCTAAACCTTACAGGGTTTGGGGTTCCCCGAAGAAAAACCCAAATCCCCTTAATTCCCCCACAGAATCATTGAGGAATGTGCCAAATACCTTCGTCACGACGAACCCAAAAGATCCGATGCTTCTGCGACGGAAGGCCTCTTCGTGCCGGGAGCTGCAGGAAGCCTGGCGGATTCGAAGTTCTGGCTTATGGGCTTTAGGGCTTTGGTGTTTGGGGGTGGTCGATGGCAGGATGTCCTCCGGTTCAGTTTCCGGGGCTTGTGTTCAGGGCCTTTAGTATTCAGGCTTGGTTGTAGGTACTTTACACGATAGCTGATGTGCTTACATATTCGTGTACGTACGTACGCTAATATGTATGCATGTATGCATGCGGGATCGTGCGCACATATCTGACCCACTTGGTCCTTATTGCCAGCCAGTCATCCACATACCTTTGTGCGTGTACGTGAAAAGAACTCTTTTACCTGCTCAAACTTCTACATATAGACACACACGTATCAGTAAAGCACACCCAGTTCTAAGGGACCTCTATCACCGCAAAAACCAAGCAAGCCACTTAAATAAAGCGCAAGGGCTTCACGAGAACCTGCTCTTAGGACACCCCGCTCCTTTCTAGAAGCCCGTAACACCCCCCACAAAGGGCCCTCAAAGGAAACCTACAGAAAGGAACCCAAGTTTCAAGACCCGAATCACCAGGCGTGACGGCAGTCCTGAAGCTGAGAAGGCGCATTGAAGTCACCTCGGTTAAACAAGACCGCAGCGTGAGGGGAAATGTCTGTGAGGGTAACAATCCATAAGCCCCAAAACTGAATCCCCAAGATACCCTAAACCCTAAACTCTAAATACATATGGGACCCACTTCGGGGGGTCTAAAGTCTACAGTCCGTAAATATGACCTATCAGCTGAAAACCTTGTGTCCTCAACCCTGCAACAGTCCTAGGGCTCAAGGGCCTGAGCCGTAAGAACTATGGAGCTCGTAGCGTCCTAAGCCACGAAGATGGTGTTGTCATGCAAGTGGCCGTGCTGTCTCCGACCTATTGTAGGTGCGGTTCCGTTTGTGTGGCTGCAAGCCAACTGAGAGAATGAAAGACCCTATAGGGTTCCTATAAACAGGGTTCCTTTAAAGGGATCTATATAGGGTTCCTAGTGTTCCTTTAAAAGGGGTCTACTCTCTGCCCCACTGGGAAATCGTGGCCACAAATCTTCGGGGCGGTCATCTCTGAAATGATGCGCAGACCCCGAGTCGAGCCATCAATAGCGAACCAAAGAAGCGCCTAAAGAGAAACCACATGGGTGGTTGTCAAAATTATGGTCCCCTTTTTGGATCCCTGTTATAATACGGCACCTCGTCATATTTAGGGTACCCAAAAAAGGGACCCTAATTTTGACAACTACCCATATGGTTGGAATATCCCACAATGGCCTCTTGAAGTATGCCAACGAAGTGAGGATGTCCCACTCGAAAGTTATGTATGGGTGCTTTCCTGGTCCCTGATTCAAGCCCGAAACGAGTTCTTGAGACTGCTCAAGCAAAGCTGCCCAAAACGATGACATTCTGGTCTTCTTTCGTGGCCTGCGTCGCAAAGCGATGTTCCAGTGTTCATGCAGAATTACAATAAGAAATCGTCGTATTACAGAGGGCCTACAAAGAGATGGCGTACCTACGTATCCCGATCCCTCTAGTCTTGAGGATGATTCATAGCACGAGCCGACAGATGAAGGATAGACGCTTTGGGATGTGAGGGTTCAGGGTGTACGGGTCGACTTAGCTGAGCAATGTAGGAAACTGATTAAGAAACCCTGGCCCTATAGCCTCAGGATTCATGTAAAGAACCCTAATAAAGACCCAAATGCTCCTTAATGAGGTTCCTACATTACGTTTCTAGGAATCTTAAGCATCACCTGGCAGTGCCATAGTTAAGTTTCGAACGCCAAACCACAGGTCCATACTTTGCACCATGGAAACACAAAACACGGAACTCTCAATACCCATCCTGAACCGTGAATCGTCAACCAGGTAGCTCTGCAGCTTGCTCGTTCCTACACTGTCCGAGACATTATTTTGCTGTCCCTTTGCTGTCCCGTTCTGTAGCCCATATCTGGCAGATTCCGACTTTGCTGGCTTTTCTTTGCGGCAAACGCTCGGCAAATCGCAGCGAAGTTAAAGTTGCTGAGCATGTGCCGGAATGTCAGAGGATACAGAAGCACATTGTGATACTCCCAAACAACATATACTAAAGTCTACTCCTCTCCCCGCCCGGCCGTGCTCCAAAAGTAAAGGCACCTTTCAACCTTGTGGTCTCTCCTCCTTGGTTCCTGGAGTCCTCTATAGTTTGCTTCCTTTCCGTCTTACACCCTCCTCCTGCCTTACTTCCCCACCTTCGTTCCTGCAGTCGCTCCTCCTTCCGCCGCAACCCCACCGCCTAAAACCCCGACACGAAACCAAACAAGCCCGATCACCGAAGAATACCTAAAGCCGACACGCCGGAACTCCATTCTCAAAACCAAACAAATGCTGTCCCTAAACCGTGCAAGCCGCACACCCCATCTAACATCGCCACATGAATGCTCCTGAGTCCTGCATAACTCTCCCGAAATCCTCTAAGCTAAACCCTAAACCTCAACACTGTAACCTCTTCTAAATCTCCAGAGGCCCAAGTCCTGATTCATATGTAGCCAATTTGTGGGCTGTCCACTCAGCCCCTAAGAATCGCCCTCCCGCTGCCTCATGGAGAGCCTCGAACTCAAGAAGTCGGATCGCCTCCCCCTCCGCCATGCCGAAGTAGCCCCTGCTCTCGAGCTTTTATTATCAGGAGAAAAAAGCACCAGAACCCCTGAACCCAGAAGTCTGAAGTCTTGAAAAGAGACCCTCACAAGCAGCAGACTGCTTGAGTTTTCAAAGACCCTCTTCTCGTGTGATTGGGGATCAAGTCACGTAAGTAGTGAACACGGGCTACTAGGCGGGACTTAATCATTAGAATAGAGGTTTCGGTGTATGCTAGAAGTAGTTAGAATATTGGTACTTATGACAAGTAGATATCTTATGCGTTTTTTTTTGGGGGGGTGCTTCTTGGAAGCATGGAGTGCCCAAACCCCTGGCGAAGCCCACAACCGTGCACAAAGTCGGTCCTGAGTCGGGAACTTTCTCAACTTCTTCCACATAATGGACACCCGAATCTCTACCAAAAGCAATGTTTACAAGTTTCCCTGCGTCCTATGACTACAGAAAGCATTTGGCACCCGAATTGTTGATCCGGCGCCTCATCTCAGCCCAGACGTCCAAATGCGTGGACACCACGGTGAGGAGCTCCTCGGGTAGGGGACGAAGTCGAAATATGTTCAAAGACAGGGCTGAGGGTTTGTGACTGAGGGTTTTGGGGTTTAGTGCACGGCTTCCGGCAGCCTTGAGCCAAAACCAGTTTAAGATATTGAAGGTAAGTTTGTTAGGATACAGCACCGCCGTCCTCTCTGAAGCAACCAGGAAAGCACTCTTGCTAGTTTTAATTTGATGCCAAAGTAACATGACCCAAGCTGCAAACAATGCCTATAAACCCTAATCCCTAGGCCCGAAACCCTAAACCCTGTATGCCCAAAACGGAGGTAAGTTCTGCAAATCTGAACCCTAAACCCTGCGACCCCGTCACAGTCCTCATAGAGCCCATGATCTGAAACACTGAACCCCTTGACGTTCCCCTCCCGGGCGCATTATTATGTCGGAGGCGGACAACAGCAGCCGTCCGGTTCTCATCCGCACGGTTCCTGGAGCGTTTGAGAACTTTGCGGTATCCTTCGCAGGGGCCTGACAAGGGACTACACATAATAGTCATCCAATTTGTATGGGTCCCATTTACTGTAAGGGTCCTGAAAACAAGTGCAGATCATCCTCACAACTTGCTAGTTTGCGGTTTGTGAACAAGGGTGTCGGGGGCGACGAGGGGCTTCGTGAGTGGGGTCGAGGGTGCAAGAAAGAGGTAAGAACAAGTAACAGTAATCAAATTATAGTGCCTTTTTCAAAACCATGATTACACTGATATGACCAAAGCCCTATAAACCAAGGCCGGTGTGTAATACTATCCCCTTGCAGTGCCTGCAAAAACACACTAGGATATACCCCAAACCCCTTCCAAATAAACCCTATCGAGGCCTCAACCAAACTTACAAAACCGTCCAGAACTGCTGCAAAAACTGCTTTGTACTCACTCAGGCCCAGTAGACTTTTGGAGTGTTCCTCGCCTGTCCAGCATAGCAGTGGTCACATGCTCCAGCGGATGGCGAGAGAGCACCTGAGCAAAATGTGCACCAACTACGCAAGCGTCCCTTTGTAAGGGTTCTTCAGCACAACAGCTACAAGCCTCTGCGAAAAACCCAAGGCATCCCAAACCCTCGTGGCCGAGAAGTTTATGATACGACAGACCCTCCGCCATCTCAATATAGAGCCCTTTAGAAGATTTGTCTGGCAAACCTCGAAGATAAGCTCTGAGATCCGCCACGGCATTTCCGCACATGAAACCGGCGATGCCTGGGACTGTGGTTGGATTTTGTTCAGGACTTAGTGGCTTGGGAGCGGCTAGGATGCACACAGCCTTTGGGGTAGCTTTGGGGTACGCGGTTTTGGGCTTGGGCTGTGGGTTTTGGGATTTGAAGTTTTGGGCTTTGAGTTAAAGCTTTAGGTGGACTTATAACCCCAAGGCCCACAGTACCCGCGAAGTAGGTATTGGAGCTCGGGATGTAGTAGCGATGTAGGTTGTCATACTGCTAGTAAAGGACTTGAGTTGCTTAGGTTTAGGCAACATCAATACGGGTTTTGGGTTCAGCTTCAGGAGTGCCACCGGAACCCTAACCCCAAAAGCTCTACGAACCCCCAACCCTTCTGCAACAATTACACATAGGCCCCGCATGTTATATGTACTTCCTGGAAGATGGCTCTTTGCTAAGTTCAATATTTCAACCTTACGGTGGTTAATTATCCGTCTTTTAAACAGAAACCCACTACGACGACGAGCACATCTAAAGCCAGCTTTGAAAATCATGGACCCTGCTTTGGGGTGAGCAAGTTACCGGATCGGAGGTGCCCAGCTGCGCGGATGGTCTACTCGGGTAGTTGTCAAAATTATGGTCCCTTTTTGGCTCCTTATTTTAATACGGCACCTAATATTTAGGGTAACCCTAATTTTGACAACCACCCACTCTGCTCTTCAAGATCAGCTGCTGTGGCGGGCACGACCTTATAATAGCCCTTATAGACCCCTGTAAAGGGACCCTAGTAACGCTATACATAGGTTCAGACCCAGACCCCACTATCTCCTGTAGCCTTTGGCAAAGAGTTTTGGAGTGTAGGGCTGGGTGACGCAATTCAGGAGAATCTTGGCGGCTCTGAGCACGTAGCGAGCCGGCAAGGGCCTGCTCGAACAACGGACTTACGACGCGACCGGTCGTGCACCGCTGTGGATCAGGTAGTTTGCATCTGGAAGGGCAGCGCAACAACCAAGATCCGAATGCGACGCTCGGGAATCCTGCTCTAGGATACCCAGTAACCTAAGAATCAAAAGGCCTCTCTTTTTGGTATTGGGTAACTTTATAAGGAACCTGGGACTACAAAAAGGGAATAAGGGTACTACTGGGCATCCTAGTGCTTCAGGCCCAGACCGCTTCAGGGATCCAGTGCTGAAGCGGTCTTCAGCTGACCAGTGGCCATCCGCCCGTTGCTCCAAGCGCGGCGCTTCGGGAACCCTTTTTCGGGCGTAGGGGTTCAGAAGGGTGCCCTTTTCCTACCAGTACTGTTCAGTTTTCATAAGGCGACTCCAAAGACAGCTCATAAACACCCAAACGAAACCCTAAACCCCTAAACCCTAACTACTGCATAACTTAGCCTCTGTGGCACTCTGTGGAGGGCTTGCACTAGCGAGAGATCCCTTTCACGACACTACCCATAGGCTCTTTAGTATTTCCTTTTGGGGTTACCTTTTAGGATCCTTAATATAAAATTGGTTAAACCAAAAAAAGGAACTACAACGGAGACTATAGATAGTCCAGGGTCGAGGGCTTAATGATCAACCCCGGACAGAAAAGAAGGACGTTCCATCCTTGGTTTCCTATACAGCCTAAACAGAAGCCCCCAAAAACAGCAAAACCCCAAGAACCAGGCGTTGAGTTGAAAGTAAAACCCTAAGATCCCCAAATCTTACATTAGGGGGTACCTTATTGTGGGGAACTTATAACAAGGATCCTAGTATTTAGGGTATCAGATTAGGGTCCCCTATTTCAGGAAACCCCCCCATACTGGTTTATAAGGCAGGGTGGAGGAAGGGATATAGGGACCACTACGGGGGAGTATGTAGGGCTTAGGCTAGTGTTGGTAATTATCTGGGCCCCTATGTTTAGGGTCGGGGCTCGACGAAGCAAGGTGTGGAACCGACCATGTCAAAGCATCGGGGAATTTCACGAAAACTTCGTCATCCTCGATGAAGGCTTTCCCAGAGACTACAACACCTTCGCTTTGGTTTCGCAGGCATGACTATTTCAAGAATCCACCGAATAGCCATAAGGCTACTGTACTACTACCGAGACCTCACATGGTAGATCACTTTCATGGAGCCGCAGGCCCCAAGGAATAGCATTCAAGCTTCTCCCAGAAAGCCCAAAAGCCTTGCTTAAGGAATACAGCTTCAATCATCACAAGAAGCCCTGTCTGTAAAGAACCAAAATATACTATTTAACTATATGGTATTGAAACTCCTCCGGGAACCCCATGATTTGCAAGCCAGTTGGCCACTTCGAAACGCGGGCGAGTAGACGCCTGGCTGAGGCTGAAACGTGGCGGTTGGGGTTTTGAGTGGAGCACGCTGCAGCATGTTTTTTCGGAGTTTCGGGCTTGGGGTTTAGCCTCTTGAATATAAACCTTGTTTCCACATATATATATATGTATATGTAGAATGGTAGACAGATAGATTAAAAGAGACAGAGAGAGAGAGGGAGAGAGACAGAGTGAGTGAGTTCTATCCATCATGTTGTAGCTGTCTATCTTCCTATCTATCTATCCATCTACCTATGTCTACACAATGTATGTGGAAAGGGGGGAAAGACAGACAGACAAACAGGGCAGATAAACAGATCGACATATGGGTAGTTCTCTAAAGCAGGATCCCTTTGAATGAGGGTGCCATACTATTTTAAGGTCCCAAACAAGGACCCTGGTTTAGAGAACATGCGTGTTTCCACTAGTGTCTGAGTCCTCCGGAGACGGGCTCAGCTTTCAGCATAACAAAAAATAGATGGCCGAAACCAGTGAATACCGCTTGGGGTTTAGGCTGTAGGGTTTGGGTTAGAGGGGCTCTCAGTCTCTCCTTCTCGTGGTTCAGAAAGTTTCTCCTCCATGAGTATCACACTGCCTTGGATGTCTGTGGATTTAGGGTGCTTTCGTCGTAGAACCGCTGCGGATTTTTGAGTTTATGGCTGCCTTATGTATGAGTGAAGGGCATTGGTATCAGAACTGAGGGCTCAACAGTCAGCGGGAGTGATAAATCCTAAGAGGAACCATGCCAAGTCTGGCGGGAAGGGGGATATGAAATACCAAGCGTTGTATATGTCTTGCACATAACCCGCTGCTGAACTCTCAACCTGGAAACCCGAATAGTGCCAAACATGTGCATAGCCTTATGCTGCCTAGGCATCTTTGGCTTTGGGATCTTCTTTCTATCTCCATATCGTCTATCGTCATATCTGGAGGTACAGGTGCCTCATATAGGAATCGAATGGGGTTCTGGGGTATAGCAGACTTACATTGAGGAGGGATGGTGCATGCAGAAGTGCTGTGCGCTTGAAGCAAGCTTGGGGCCCGTGCCCTCCCGGTAGCCCAGGCGGGCAAGATGCTTGAGGAGGACAGCGCCGTCCTGGCCGCAAGTATATTGGTGCACCGCAGAAGGGACCATTGCTGCTGATTCAAGGGCCAAGGGCCTAGAAAGCTTTGTCGCAACACAGGACCTCGAAACGAAACTCAAACTTCAAGTGTTGCGCCTCAGCGTCAAACCAAACAACCTTAAACGGGAGCCTACTGAACTGCAGTACCTAACCCCTAAACCCCTAAACCCTAACCCCCTAAATATGGTAGCACACTGTGAGGCCCGGAGCGCCTGGTGTTATCAGAAGCTGAGGCTCCTGTAACCATGCTTAGAATATTATAGCTGAACACAATGAATGCAATAATACGAATAATAAGCATAGAAACAACGCTGGGACTGATCACGATAGTAACAATAATAATGGAAATGTCTCAAGCTGGTCCGTTGCAGGAGTCCTCCTTTGTCTTGCCGGAACCCCAAGCGACCCCCGTGCTGTCGAAAAGCTGCCTGCATAGCCACCAAGGCGTAAGGATGCGAATTTCAGATTCGTCACGTGCCATCTTCTGAATCCAAGCCAGACTTGGGCCCAAAACTCGAAACACTCGTCCCGGAGTCTGTAGACTGTAGACAGGGGGTGAGGCCGAAAGGCGTTAGTGAGGGAGGTACATACACTTAACCACCGAAGACATCCAACTGGAAGCCTGAGGAAGCACGAGTGGGGTCACAATAGGGTTTGGGGGGTTCCTTATTATATTGATATTGTAAAATATACCCGCAAACCCCATTCTAATTATTGTGGGCTTTTTCTTGTGTTGTGAGATCCGAAACAAAGAGTTGAAACAAACAACGAAGGAACCACATGGGAGGGTAGAAGCAGGCTCTGGGACTTGTTTCTCAGGGCTTGGTGCAAAAACTGACCAACTAAGCCCTCCGAACTCTCCTGCGACCCGCCGCAAGCCTCAGTAAGCTCAAGACCTAAACTCAGAAATCGCTAGAACCCCTACAGCCTGCAAGGAATTCTAAACTGTGATCCTTAATCCAAAATCCTAACCCTAGACCCTTTAAGCCCTACAGCTTAAACCCGTAAGCCAGTAAACCCTCAACCCGCGGCCTAAATCAATCACAAAAACACCCATAGACCTTACAGGAACCCTTGTATAGAAGCCTCATAATTCAACGCACACACACAGATAAATTTATGTGTTTATAATTATGCGAATATATGTATATGTATAGACAGATAGAATCCCTGATCCTTGATATCAAAACTGGTAGAGCTTTGGGAGCCTCGACATCGCCTCCACGAGCGACGCCGCGTCAGCCGCATCAGGAGGAGATCCGACCTGCTTAAAAAAAGAGTTCTTCCAGGGCTCCCTGAGTGTTCTGTAAGGGCTCTTAGGGCTCTCTATGTTCTGATTAGGATTCTATGAATCTGGCTTCCATAAGTGTCCGATTGCGGTCTTAAAACGGCCTGGGCACCGCAGGATTCCCTGTGAGGCTTTTGATGCTTGCTTTTGACGTGTATGTCTTCGGGCTGTTATGGGCTGTTAGAGTCTTTACGTTTCTGGGATTTGGGACACTAGCCGATATTGGGGATCGTGATTCAAGTACTTCTACAATAAAGGCTCTACTGTGGTTCTGTATGCGTCACATGACGGTTGCTGGAGGGTAGCATGGAGGTTCGGCTCTGTATGCTTACAAACTTGAAAGAAACTTACAAGGCATTTGTCTTGTTTACGTTTGGTTTAATAATAGTTAAGATTTTAACTGCAGGGGTCGAATGTTTACAGGGTTTGCGGGATATGGCGTAAACTCGGAGACTGCTCACCTTCTGACTCTTGCAACATGTCCCAAAAAATGAGCAACATCCAACTGCCCAAAGCGAGCTGCGACGAGCGCAGGGGTGCCGTCTTTGTCAGCTGTGGCTTCCAACACGAGGCGCATCACCTCAACGTGGCCTTGCGCGGATGCCTCACACAGTGGAAGCGGATAACCCAGGCCTGGGTCTTGCAGCCTTGGTAGAGTGGTCTCCACTTCTGGTGTCAGGCTGCTTCCGGCGGCATCCCGAGGTGCATTCACTTGCAATTCAAATGCTGGGCAGAAGTTCAGAAGCACGACCTGAACCTCACCAGGTCTCAAAGTGTCTTCGTCATTTAGAACCAGACCATGATCCGGCAATACCAGCCTTTGTCTGAGTCTTGACACGCCACATCACGCCACAGATGCCGTGCAACTGACGCTTCAGTGCCAAGACAGGACGAGTTTCTGTTGGTCATCGGTGCTTTCGGCAGCGTGGTGATCTTGATGATGTCTTTGGTAGGACATGTCCTGATAAGAGTTAAGCAACTTCGCCCACGCAACTTCTTTCAAAACATGCTGCACGTTCTCCGGGTCAGGCACGCTCACAGCCGTGTAAGCAAGCTGCGGGAACGGGCAGTCGCCTCACCGCTTCCAGTCAGTGCTGCCCATGGCATGCAGGGCCTGAACCTTGGCTCACACAGTTTAGGGTTTAGGTTTTAAACTCTTCGTGCTTAACGTTGAAGATTCAAGGGGCTTCCATTGCCTGCAAGGCACCCAAAACATCCCAAAACCGGCTAGTATGACATCGACATGATGGGCACACGGGGCAACTTAACGTTGAGTCAAGCCGCCTGCTTCGCATAGAGAAACGCACCACACCAACCTGGCTCGACTTCGAAGATGTCAACTTTCTCTTCTCCAGCTTGGGACAGAGTGTGGCCAGGTGATCCTTGTGTAGTACAAGGCGGATGCATGCCAGCTTTGAGTGGCACCGTCAGGAATGTTTTGGCGCAGTTTTTGGCGCCCCAAAAGGCAACGAAAATCGCCCCACCCTGGCCATGCTGTTGTTCTCTGCCACAGCCATGCTTACGTAGAGCTTTTTGCTGGACAGCTTAAAGCGGCGCCCTGGCATCTTGGCCACCATGGCGTGGAACTGCTCCGGGCCATCTTGAAACGCGCGGACCGGAGCGGGAACTTGTGCGTGCACATGTAGAAAAACCTCTTGTGAGAGGCGAGATTTCTTGTCCAGGCCGTCCGAGCCGATCATGCTCCTGAGCGAGCCGCAGGCAGCTACAGCTGCGCAAGCACAGCGCAGCACCTTCAGCGTGTGTACGACTTGGCCCAAGGCATACCTCTGATTGCATGCCAAGCTCCGTGCTGACATCTGCCATTGCCCAGAAAAGGCCACTGCAGTAATCGACACAGCTTACTCTCGTGCATGGCTTTGTTGTCTGCGTCCAGGATTGCCTGCTTGGCCATGTAGACATCTGGGTAATGCAGCCATCGTCCAGCGCGGACGGTTGGGAAGCGCTGTGTCAAAAGGCAGGGCTTTCGCAGGTGTCTTTTGGCTGCTCTCTGGCTGAAGAGCGGGTTGGAGCTGCGCAGCACACCTCATCACTCGCTGATTGAGGGGCGGGCCGCCGGTCACCAAAACGCTGGTTCTGCTTCAAAAGGTGTCTACTATAGATTCCTAGATGGCGAGAACATGTTTGGCGGGAAGATTACATCATAAGTTTAGACAGTGCTATAAAAAAACTCTTTACAGTTATTACCCGAATTAGACCCCTCCATTACATGCACACCACAACTCAAAAGACGCTTGAGTGGGGACTGGCCCATTACGAAGCTCACCCCGAGGCGCCGGGGAAACCTGCGAACACCTCTGGGCCAGCGTCCCGCTTCCGGATCGGGATCTGCAGCTCCTCCGTCACACTATCCGGCTTCAACGTGTAGGGTGGAGCTTCAGCCCTAGCCCTCACCCAAGACCCCTGACTCGACCCCTAAGCCCAACATCCCCAGCTTGTCATCGGGCCTCGGAAAACCAGCTGTGCAGGCCCTTCGACAGCTCGCGCGCACGCTTCTCGTCGACCATGGCGGCGCAGGGGGCTCAGAATGCGGAGTTTAGGATTTGGAGGTTTGGTCTTGGGGTTTAGGAACTCTTCAGATTTGGGATTTAAGCTCTGAACAAACCAATCGCCACGAGATCTTTGCCAGACACGCTCCGAATCCGCAGCATGCCCGGCGTTAAGAATGGCTCGGGATGTTGATCCAAGCTCTGCATCATGTGCTGCAGGCATTTTGACTGAGTATGCTTACTTGTTCGTGCCTTTAACTCCCAGATGTGAAATCCCCACAAAAACCTCATTCCTAAACCTAGTTTACTGAGTTAGTTTACCGAGTCAAAAGGGCACCGAGGTGGGGTTTGGGATCAAGATCTATAATTGCAAGGGTCGCCATAGTCAGAGCAGCAGCAACCATGCAGGGGAACTGCTAACCAGCGAAATAAAGCAGAAGCAGCAAAGATACGTGGATGATGCACGCGTACGATAATATGAAGCAGCGAACTCGACGAGCTTGACCATCATGTTGGTACTGCTGCTGATGTCTTCGTAAGAACAAGTAAAGTATATTAGTACTAGCGAAAGCCGTAGCCATGCCGAGGACAGTGAGACAACATAGGAAAGCAACGTCGAGGGATTATGCCGAAAAAGCTCACAGAGACTGCCTGTCGGGTCCATTTTCTATTCCTATCACCTGTAAGCTGACAACAAGTGCAGCGTCTTTGGCCCTAACCCTATATAGATAAACCTTACAGAATGCTTCCCGAAGATCTAACTTGCGTGGTGCTGCGCCCCAAGCAACAAGCGGAAAACGAAGCAAACACTGAATATAGCTACCAGCTCTTAATGAAATCATAAGAACGAGAACCGCCCACATGTCGGCTTTTTAGGGTTCATAAGGAAATCATGGTAAGGAACCCCCCAAAATGTAGGCTTCTAAGGGTTCAGCTAGGCGCCAGCTTCGTTTGTTTCTTGGGGCTTGCTGCATCCGAAGGACCTTCTTGGGAGTGAGCTCGCCATCCTTCGCCGACCACCTGCATGTTCGCGGAGTGCAGGTTGGGGGTTTCGGGATTTAGGGCTTACTTAGGCAGTGCAGGATTTATGGCGTTTTGGGTTTAGGGTGCTGAGGGCTAAAGGCTCAGGCCCGGCGGTAGAAGGTTCAGGCTCACGGGTGTAATTAGGGCGGCGTGCATCTGAGAGTCCGCAGCAGTATGCTGCAAGACCCAAACCGATCCACGCCCGTGGGACAAGACCTGGCTCATTGAAAACCGACTTTATCAACGCGTTCCGGAGCTTAGTACGACTCAAAGCTTGAGACCGAGCGTTTGGGGTCTAGCCTGTGACAGAAAGCAAGTCCCTGAGCCCTCAGCCCGGGACCCCAATGCCTAAACTTACCTTTGGTTAGTAGGGAATGGAGGAATAGGGTACAATTATAACTACTATTACTACCATTCTTCCATTTCCTACTAACCAAAGGTCAGTGCAACACTGCATTCCGAGGCCTGAACCATCGACAAGGCCTAGGTTTCGAGAACTTGGATCTGGATTCTCGAGCTGCACAACAAGGTCTCCAAACTTCCTATATGCCTTGAACCATCACCCCACACCCGAAGCAGTCTGTGAGTGTGTGTGTGTGTATGTGTCTATATACGAATGTGTATGTGCATATGTATGTCTACATGTATGTATATATATATATATATATATATATATTTTTTTTTTCATGTATGAAAAAAACATCTATGTGCCCGGTACGGCTTAGGGTTTAGGGGTCTAGTTCTTGGGCGTTTTGGTTTAAGCATTCTCTGTCCTCCATCTTACACCCTCAGCCAAACCAAAGACTGAGGCTTGAGGCAGCTTGGCCTGGGACACACACCAAAAATCCCCAAAAGCTGCTGGAGCAAGTTGCCCTTTCCCGAGCGTTTATGATCACAAGACTGATACCAGCGTCTGAAGTATACTAGGGCAGTTGGGGCGTCTATCTCTAGTACATGTTGTTAGTAATATTCTTATTGATTTTACTAGTTAGTAGTAGTACTAGTACTGTGTTTGGTTCATTAGTGTTGGTCGTATGGAGACTATTTTTATTGCTGAAGGGATTTGGGCTTTACCCAGTTGACAGCCCCAAGCTTCGCCTTCCACTCTCGCCGAGGCCGTCCGGTATTCCAACCTCCTCTTGCAGGCGGTTTAGAAGGGGTTTAGGGTTTAGGGCTCTATGGGGCGCAAAAGGGTGTGCATAGAATATAAGGGTCTTAACACTGCTGTTTGCATTGGTCTGGTATGGCTATATAGATAGAAACGTATACAGAGTGGAAGGCTTTCCTTGCTCGAAAAGCCGCTTTCCTCCGATAGCCGTGGAACTCAGCATCGCAATTATTGCTGTGTTGTTATCACTCATGTGCTTTTCTATTGCTGTTATTCGAATGCTATGATTTCCACTGTTTGTAATTACCGTTAACCTTTTAATCTTATATTCAGCAACACCTGAAACGACGCAAGCCCCGTATCCACAGCCATGGAGTTTAAGGTTCCGATGAATCGGCGCAGTATGTATGTTTTAAGTTTTTATGACAGCGTCCCGAAGCGGAATAAGGGGCTTAGATTCTTCGGTTTTTCTTAGGCATCTTATTCTGATGAAAGGCACCGTCCACAACGAAAGGGCAAGCAGGGCTCTCTGGGTTGAACTAACTGAAAGATCGTTGCTGATGTAGGATAGAAGCCTTAGGTAGAGAAACACCTAGATCCCAGGGTATTTAGCAACCATCAATCTGCGTGGTAATCAAAGTTATGGTCCCTTTAAGCCTTTTTGGGTCCCTAATGTAGTACGGCAGCTTGTATTTAGGGTACCCCAAAAGGCCCAAAAGGGACCATAAGTTTGACAACCACCCATCTGCTTCGTTACCAGACACAGCCCCAGGATCCTTAAAGCGCTGACCGGCCACATCCACAACCTTGAACACAGCCATGGAAGTGTCATGTTCCCTTGAGATAAAGTCCCAAACCCGAATCCTGGAACCGGACTCTGGAGATCTCAAGGGGCTTGGTTGGCGTTGGGGTGTAGCTACCCTAAACCCTAAAGTGTCGGGGTCCTTCTGGATGTTGGGTGTTGGGCCTTTGGGCCGTGTTTGGGGGTTTATCCCGGGAGAGAAAGACTTTAGCTTAGTTTCTGAGTTGATAGGCAACCCAAAGTGTACGCTTTCAGTTTTATAGTGGCTAATATCATCCCCAAAAGTGTAAAGTGTATCCACTCAGCTACTAAGGTAGAAGACCTGATCCACTGATGCCTGGAGCGCGATGACGTCGGCATCCAACTTCTCAACGGCCTTGCCAGCTTGATGCTGCTTGTGGGCTTCGTAGAAATGGTCTTCCAAGGCTGAGGCTGTGGGGCCGATAGGATCTCAAGGTACAGAAGTACGGAGGCTAGATTGGAAATACACCTTATAAGCGGTTTCGGATACAGGCATCGAGGTTGGCGCAGGGCTCCGGAACCACGCACAGACATTGAGACTAGGGGACCGAAACAAAGGATCCCACCTTTGAGCTGGAAAGGGGCCCTCCGGCTGCAGATCCCAAATTACAGGTTTTTTTTTGTTTTTTAAGCGCCTCTTTTCCGACTTGCAGGTGCTTGGGATTTTAATTAAAGGGTTTAGGGTTTAGGGTTTAGGGTTCAATGAGTAGCATCGTTGCAATAAGATCGCAAAGCATCCGAAACTCTGAATCCAGCGCTACACCCTAAACCCAGATGATTGCAAACCCCAAATGGGAGTTCCCGAAAATAGGGGACCCCAATATAGTACCCTAAATAGTAAGATCCTTATTAGAAGTACCCCAAAACAAGGTACCCCTAATTTTCGGAAACTCCCAAAAGAGACACGGAAGCCTTGACCCTCGAAGCCCGAAGCCCTGATGCCCAAACCGCAGACCCTGCAACGCCTAGACCCTGAACCCCTAAACGCCCAGAGACCCCGACACCCGAAGTCGCGAGTCCTGCAACCTCGTTTAGGGTTTCCTTTTAAAATGCAGCGACCCTTTTCTGTGCAGACAGGCCTGCCTCATACCTCGTTTAGGGTTTAGGGTCACGGTAACCTGGACCCCGAACCTCAAGGAGTGACCCAGGCCTCCAGGATGCGAGCCATGCTCCTAGGTTTCAAAGGGGAAAAGGAGGGACCCTTAATGGGGACCCCTACCCTATAATGGGCTATATAATGGGCATAAAATGGCTATATTATGGGTATATACCTAGGGGTCCTTATTAGGGGTCCCTCCTTTTACCCTTTGAAGGTTGTTAGCCAAGACCCAGCAGGGGTATAGTTCACTGTCTGACGACGCTTGATGCTTTAGCGTCTCGTTCCTTAGTTTTGTTCTAGAGGGTTCAGAGTTTCGAACATGGGGCAGCCTTACGAGGACTTTTGCGATGGTTCTTGACTGTGGGTATTTCTGGCATGGTGGAACGTGGTTGGGGGGCACTGGCGGCATTTGTTGCATAGGACTTTGCTTCATCCGGGGTTTCGGTGGTAATTATAGAGATTAGAGTTCACAGTGAAGCAACAGACTCTCTGGCAAGAGTGTGTCAGCCAAGACCCCAAGTAGACGCAAAGGCTTTAGCACAAAACCGGAGAGCCCTACATGCTAAAGCCATAAATTTTCCTTATCCTGAACCCCCAAACCCCTAAACCCTAAACCCCAAAATCCTTATCCCTGAACCCCGAACCCCAAACCCTAAACCCCAAATCGCGAATCTCTAAAAGCCGGTTCCTGCAGCTCCTTCTCTCAGGTGTGGCGTACGTAGTGGCTTGCGACGCCATTGTAACGGTTTAGGGGTCTCGGGCTCAGAGAGTTTCGGGTCTATGGTTTAATGTGGGGACCTTTTGACAATTGGAATAGGGTTTTGCGTATATTATACTATTTTTTTCAATAAGGAAACCCCCAAAATAGTATAGGTAATTATATTAAGGCCCCTATACTAGGGTGTAGGTTTGACCTAACTTCTACAGTCCCGCACCAATATTCCAGGAAACATCCCCATACAAGC